ATCCTGAAAATCCCTGGAAGGAAGTTAGCAAGAACTGCCTGCAGTTCTACAGAGCAGAACTGGAATCCTACAGTGGATTCCTGTAGCAGCCATCTTTTTCCCTCGGGCACCTGCTCTGACAGACTTTGGGGAGGAGTGCCATGCTGGGCTGCAGGAACCAGTCCTCTTTGGGCTTCTGGGGGCACCAGGAGAGCCAGGAGTTGGGACACCTGCAGGGTTCCTCCCTACTGATGGAAGGTCCAGGAGTGGGTTGGGACTCTTGCTTGGGAACTCACACCCACCCCCAGCTGGACCCTGCATTAATGATTGTCAAGAATTGAAGATGCTTCAGTGACAACAGAGCAAATAACAAAATAGGAATAAGGGAATTAATGATATGGAAAAAGACAAAGAGAGAAAACAAGGAATAGGAGGAAGAGGGAGAGAAGAGAAAATACAAAAAGAATATTTGCATTCACACACAAAAAAATACCTTCACAATTCCCACAGGGGTGAAGCTTATGTTGTGATTCTAGCTTACAGACGGGAAAAATGAGAGCTTCCATGAGTTCCCCAGTGACTTAGGACAGAACTAGGACTGCAATCAGCTGCCTGGTTCCCCCTTTCCACACCATCCTAACATGTCTGTTTAGAGTATGTGGAAAATTAGCAGCAGCAGTTGGGATCACTCTGGCTAGATGCATCCCTGGTGTGGGATCCCTGCCCCTTTCTCTATGCTAGGTTTGAAATCCCAATCTCAAGTGCATCCACCATCATTACATGCAGATTTAGGATGGGTCTTGTCCATGAACAACCAGAAAAGAGGTGCTGTTGTGAGATTAGCCCGCAAATAAGTGATTTGCTGGAGGTTAATGGCTGGGGGAATGGGTAGCTTTGGTCATTTTAAATCCGTCCCCCAGGATTGTCTTGGATACAGAGCCACTCAGTTACTGACAAATCCTACTGGTCAACCAGTCTACCAAATTCCAATGTCCCCTGGTTCATCGATAAGTAGGTATTGAATACCATTTTTTTTAATTGTTCCTGGCACTGCAGGAGTTAACATGGAGGGAATTTTTTTTTTTTTTTTTAACTTAGGCTTTGACTTTCAGCCCTAAAGAGGTCACGGTCTGTGTGGTGAGGCAGAGCTAGCCTACATAGCAGAAAAAGTAAGTGCTAACATGGCTATAGAAGCAGTCCCAGTCAGGAGAGGCAAACTAGCCTTAGTCTTTATTAAGTATTGTTACTTCCAGTAGTGTGGTGGTAAGCCCACTCCCAAAAAGGCAGAGAAAGATGAAAGCCCTCATTTGTAGTCTTTCCTCATTTCTGTGCTGGAAAGAGCCCCATTGTGACCAATTTCAAGATACCAATGTGACATCACTGAACACAGAGTTGGGAAGAGATATCTAAAGTTATCTCTGACCGGCCAGTGTAGGCTGGCTCTGGCACCCTACGGGTTCTCCCTGGGGCCCTGGGAAGGGAAGGCCCTACTTGTTACACCCATAGGCTGCACATGGGCTGTGACCTTCCCAAAGTCACTGGCATGCCGGCTATGTACATCACACGCATGCAGTATGTATCTCTCTGAGATTTATTGAATGCAGAATGGGAGTGGTCTACCCCAAAGAACTGTGCACCTCATAGGCACTCAACAAATGTGAGCCTCTAGCACCCCTTCTCCTTCCTCAGAGGCCTGAGGTCCTTGAGCCTCCATTTGTTCATTTATTCACTCAGCAGGTATTTCCCGATTGACCTCTCTCTGTGCTGGGCGTTCTGCTGGGGGGCTGTGGTGACGGAGAGGCATTAGACAGACGTGTTGAGCTGGAAACACGGGACAATGATGACTGGGGCTCTAGAACTGAGTTCTGGTCCTGGCTTCATCTCCAACTTACTGTGTGTCCTCGAGCAAATCACTTAACCTCTTTGGGCCTTAGTTTCTTGATCTGTAAAATGAAGGAGTTGAACTTGACATTCACTAATGTCTATTCAAACTCTGGCCTTCTGTGGCTCCAGGAAGGGAGGTGAGATCTGGAAGGTACATGAGGAATAGTTGAAGGAACAGAACAGCTCTGTGGGAGAAAGCAGACAGTCGAGCAGGCGGGACCCCTGAAGATCTGGCATGAGTCCCTCGAAAGAGGAATGGACCTCGTTAGTGTGGTTCTTGAAGGAGGAGCTCAGAGGTGGAAATTATAATGGGTTGGGTCATCCAACTCCAGCTTGAAGGATGTCGAACACCATCCCAGCCACCTAGCCACGGCATGAGCCACCTTGTGAAGGAATGGGCACCTCCTATTCAGTTAGAGACTACAGACCCCTGTCTCAGCCACGTGGACAGGATCTCTGGCAGGGAGGTCATGGCTGTAAAACCCCAGCCACAGGACCCTCTTCCAGTCCATACATCTTGAGAGGCTCCTCCAGTCTTGCCCCCAGGGACGTGAGGGGGAGTGGCTGGCTGGATGCCTACTGAGTGCCAGACCCTGTGCCAGCTTCCAAACCAGAAACACAGTTCCCACTCTGGAGAGGGGAACCTGACTGGCCCATGATCTCACTCAGGCTTGAAACAGCCATGGGGGTGGGTTCTGGGGTTGTTAAAGTAGTAGGTGGCTGAGCCAGAACTGGAAGTAGGGGTCTCCCGTTTGAGGGGTGGGGGTCTCAGGTCTAGGGGTCTCCACTGTATGCTGCTGGAAGAGGAATTCAAGGCAAGTGGGTGAGCTGCCCATCCAGTCTCTTAATTTGGTGGAGTAAAGGAGGCCAAAGCACTGCCGGGTCGGCAACCCTGAGACAGAGTCTAGCTAATTAAGAGGTAGAGGGTTTCCCTATCTCCAACAATGGGGCGCACACATTTGCCCACACACACATATGCATACACATACACACACTCGCACACACACCCAGCTTAGTTCAAGAGCACTACTAAGCATACTCTCCCCTGGTCAGGTCTCCTAGTACTTCTCTCCTGAGAAAGCCATTTCCTTGGTGACCAACCCAACCACACTCAGAACCCCTCAACCCCAGTCTTCATCCAGCACCCGATTCCTGCTCCCCTAAACTCCTGTTTTCACTTCATTTCAGACACCCCTGTCCCTTTCCTCTGCCACCATCCCCTTGCCACCACCTCGCCATGCTTCCCATGGAGAAAGGCTTCCCTGTCAACAGGCTGGCAAAGTCCATCCCCTCCCATGAAAGACTCAGTGAGTCCTGGAGACACTTGGAAGCTGGACAGAATGGGATTTCTCCCTATTTTCTTTACAGCTGAGAAAATACAAACACAAGAGCATATTTATTGCAATGTTTCTATCCCAAAGTTTGTCTTAAAAAAAGAAGAAGAAATAAAATTAGCTTCTCTGCTCAGTACCCCCCTACCTACCCAAAACCCCTGCCCTTTCCATTCCTGGTGGAGCCAGGGAAAAAAACAGAGCAGGCCCAAGCCCCACAGAGAGGCACTGCATCCCAGACAATGTGGGGCTTGTTCACAGAGTTTGGGAAGAAACACACCTCCAAAAACATACCCAAAACTTCCTAGTGGAGCGTGTTCCGAGGGAAGAAACAGGCAGGCCCTGTGTCTGGACATAGTATCGCTGAGGCTCTGGGAAGAGAGGAGCCCACCAGTCTAGCCCCCTCCCCAGACTGGAGGGAATGCCTCACCCTTTTAGCCTCTGGAGGACTCCTTCCTGTCACTGGTCCCACTGGGTCTGAACAAGAGTGCCACAACTCAGTGGCCCCTCCGTGCCAGGCCCTGGAACCCCAGAGATCGCTGTTTGAAGGCAGCGTCAGGCAGCATCAAAGGAGAAGACTTGAGGAGAAGCAAAGGGACTGCTTGTTAGGTCTTTGGTATTTTTCAGACTTCCTATGATGTGAGGGAAACATGCCTCATGCATTCGTCTCTGTCCCCCCAGCAGGGCCCACACAGCCAGCCCTACGTCTCTCAGGTGACCAATGTATGTGGCATGAATGGCAGCGATGGAAAGAAAGGTCCCTGGGTGGCGCAGCGGTTTGGTGCCTGCCTTTGGCCCAGGGCGCGATCCTGGAGACCCGGGATCGAATCCCACGTCGGGCTCCCGGTGCATGGAGCCTGCTTCTCCCTCTGCCTGTGTCTCTGCCTCTCTCTCTCTCACTGTGTGCCTATCATAAATAAATTAAAAAAAAAAAAAAAGGAAAGAAAGGTCACTCAAAACAACAGGCCAGGTCACCCAAAAGAGTTCCCCAAAGTCCCGGGCCCCGCCCACGGCTCCACTGAGCATTCCTGGGACTGGAGCCCCCCAGCTGTTGTTGACTAAGCCAACAGCGACACCTGCTGGGCCGTCACTCTGACACAGCTGGGAACCCCCAGGAGCACCACTCCCAAAGCCCCATGCTTGTCTTTAGTTCCTAGTCTTCAATCCCCTCTGCCTCCCTCCTCTCCAAGGAGCAGTGTAGTTCCAACCTGAGTCTGAAGACTCAAGACCTAGGAAGAGCCAATGTTTCAGTTCAAATCAGAAGGCAGTTTTAAGGTCATCAGGCAGGAGGAATTTTCTCTCTTGGGGGAGGTTTAGTCTTTTTGTTTTATTTATGCCTTCAACTGATAGGATGAGGCCCACCCACATCATCAGGGCTATCTGCTCTAGTTAGTCTACCAACTTAAATATTCACCTCATCCAAAAACACTCTCACAGACGCACCCAGAATAGTGTTTGAACAAATATCTGAGCACCCCAGGGCCCAGTCAAGTCAACACAAAACCAACCATCACAGGATGGATCCTTTAGAATGAGCCTTTTTGGGTTAGAAGATGGGAAGCACCCTAAAAGAGACAGGAGGAGGTTTCTGGCCTAACACGTTTAATTAAACTAAGAAATCTGTGAAAGCTTTGTGAAGAGAGGATTCTTGGAGAAGACAACCCCAGAACTACACGCAGCCTCTTTATCTTGATGCAATTTTAGCAACTTGCACATAGAATTGATCACCTTGTGTCACATGTCATGTGACCCTCAGCCTCACTGTATCTGAACCTCCAACTAACACCTCTACCTCCCTTCTTCCAGGTGAACTATGACCACTTTACTTTTGGTGTTTGTGACTCTGAGGGTCATCACAGCAGCCAGCTCGCTAGAAGCTTCAGGTAAGGACACTCCCATGCATGTCTCATGTAGCCAGCGGACACAGAAATGGATTCTGGGTAAATGGGTCCTGCCTGAACTTAGTACTGCTACTTCCGAGGTTATAATCTCCCCTCTCCTGGCCTTTTCGTGGCCCTGCCTGCCCCTTCTCTATCCAAGGCAGATCTGACCACAAGAGGAGAGTGCCGGTGCATGTGAACACACACACACACACACACACACACACACACACACACGTGTCCGGGAGCCCTTGCTCAGGTAATACTGCTCCCGATGGCCCTCTAGGATGGACAGCTGAGGGGGAGAACTCCTGGAAGGTGCCCATCTTCCCAATCCTCCCTCTGTGCATCTTACCCAAAACTGCCACACACCAAGCTTGGGGCTGGGGCAGGATTATAGACAAGCCCAAAGAGAAAAAGCTGCCAAGAGAGAATCAGCTGGAACACCAAAGATGAGGAAATTCTTTGAGAAATGAAAAGAAGTCCCCAACAAATCACACAGGGCTTTGTTTTTCTTGGCAAGCCATCCTTGGGAAGACCCTGCATGGTGTCTTGCATATGGTAGGCATGAAGTAGGTTTCTGAATATCAAGCCCTAAACCAAATGAACAAACTATCCAGTGACTGCAGGATGGGTTTGCCCCAAGGTGAGCTGTATCTCCCTTAGAGTGAGGCAAGAGAGGCCCCTGCTCTTCACTTTTAGAGACTTCCCTCTGGCCTTCCTCCTGCCCCAGTACTCTTTAAATGATGAGGAGTCTGTAGGGCCAATGAGACATGTCCACACAGATCTATGCTCACCCTTTAGACCCCACCGGATAGCCAGGATGCCCAAAATTCCCTGCCCAAGTGGACCCAAGCCACTTTCAAGGCCACATAGGTCTCTCCTCTGGGCCCATCCTCCTAGAGCAGGAGGACCATGCCCTTGATGAGAGCCATCTCAGGCCTGAGAGAAAAGTCCAGGGGTGGCTGTTTGTATGTGGTGTGGACAGAGCTGAGGTGTGAGGCCTGGGATAAGCCCAGACCCCTCCCAGTCCAGAAAACTGGCAGAGAGAAAGACAGCCTCCTGCTTGACCACCATAGCCCAATGCAAAACTCTAAGGAATCCAAGACTTCTAAATTTGAATCTGGCTTTTCATTTTGAAAGGTATCATTGTCGAATAGGAAGATAGAACATATTTTATTTAACATTTTATGGACTTGATTTATAACTTTTAAATATTTATACATAGGATATATGGGTCTCCATCTGTACCCTTGCTCTGGGACCCACAAATATCCAGCCCCTGGCTGTAACCTGGGTGGTTTGCCCACACAGGCTACCCAGTTCATAGGGTTGGTGGAGAGCTTTAAAAACTGCAGGGTTAGGCACTACAGTCACTTTTAGCTCTCCCCAGAGAACCGGAGAACTGCCAGCCCTAAAACCATGCTGTATTGTGGGGCTAGGGCTGAGCATCCAGAGGGAGATTTTTGTGGAAGGACCTGGTAGTGATCAAAAGGTTAGGGCTGGACCCCCAAACATTCCTGGCTCCCTGTTCCTTGTCCTGTCATGGTATCTACCACCCACAAATATCTGAAACATTTTTATTTTCAACCTGTAAGCCCTCCTGGAACATGAGTCCCCATAAGTGTGTGACTTACCATGAAAGGAACTATTTTTGCAAAAGCTGTCTCTTTCCCATTCCAGGAAGATCTTTTCCTTCTAACTGGATTTGGTAAAGACGTTGCATCTTCCCTACCAATACTCTCCATGATTTTTTGTGAAGCTAATCATACACCACACTCAACCCCCACCCTTGTCTAACTTTTTGGGGATCTTTTACATAAATATCTGCTCTTCTCTGATGCTTCTCCAACCAGCTCCCCCGCCCTCAATTCCCCAACAGCAGAAGAGAATGCCTTGTCCCTTAGCAAAGCCAGGATGGAATCCAAAGCAGACCTCAAGTGGGACACGTCTGTGTAGTTTTGCATCTGAGCTTTAAACATTGGGTGGATATGTTTATTCTTCCTCATAACAATTTTTCCCGCCGTAAAATGATTTTTTTCCCAAAATCTTTGAGTCAAGCCGTCACTTCAGGAAGATGGGTCCTGTTTCTCTTATGGTTTGGTATCTCCTGGGGTACCTGAGTTTGAGAAACAGAGAGTGGGGCAGGGTGGAGGGGCTCAGCTCTAAAGTTGTCCTCGACCTCCTCTGCAATTATTTTCTGGTTCCATAGTTGCAGTCTTGGGGTACAGAGACCAGAGATCTTGAGAAATGTTGCTCTGGAAAAAGTGTGGCAAAGCTTCCTGGGAATTCTGGATAGCACAGGAGTATCCCCCCCCCTACAACCCTCTGCCATAATACAAACAGGGTCATGGGATCTGGTCATTTACAGAAGGACAGACAGGGAGGCTGGGTGGTCTTCTCCAGGCACTAACAGTTCTGTCCCTGCCCCACAGACCCAGACAACTCACTGAGTGTCAGCATCCCTGAACCGTCCCCATTGCGGGTCCTCCTGGGGAGCTCCCTCACCATCCCCTGCTACTTCATCGACCCCATGCACCCTGTGACCACCGCCCCCTCCACCGCCCCCCTCGCCCCAAGAATCAAGTGGAGCCGCATTACCAAGGAGAAGGAGGTGGTGCTGCTGGTAGCCACTGAAGGGCAGGTGAGGATCAACAGTGCTTACCAAGACAAAGTCTCGCTACCCAACTACCCGGCCATCCCCAGCGATGCCACCTTGGAAATCCAGAACCTGCGCTCCAACGACTCTGGGATCTATCGCTGTGAGGTTATGCACGGCATTGAGGACAGTGAGGCTACCCTGGAGGTCGTGGTGAAAGGTGAGAACGTCCCACAGGGACACTGCTTTACCTGGGAAAAGAACCAGAATGGTAGCCTCACGAGAGTGGGCTGAGGCAGGCTGGTTTTCAAAGCCCAGTTCCTCCCCCTCCAGCTTGCACACATCTGAGTCAAGTCACTTAGCTTCAGTTGTGTTTCTGTAACTTCGAGCTGGTGTTTCCATTCTCTCTGGACTTTGAGGGAATTAAACACGTCCTGGCCACAGTCACATGTAAATGAAAGTTTGTGTTTGTGCTTTGCAGCAGTCCCATGATTTGGTAGGTCTTGAGATCATCCCCACTTTACAGACAAGCAAACTGAGGTTAAGTGATCTGTCTGAAGTTTTCCTGGAAGTGAGCCAGAGCAGTCTCCTGACTCTTCATCCAGATAAATGTCTTTACTTCCCTCACCTCCCACCCCAGCCCCATTCTCAGTTCCAGAAGCCAAAGGGATGAAGCCTCCCTGGTTCATTTCTCTCAATGGTGCAAGGAGAGTGGTTGTGTCCATGGGTGGCTTAAGGATGGGTTTCCCATTAGGATGCCCCAGGCTGAGGATACATGGGGCTCTAAGTGTCTCTTTCCCCCAAAAAAACATGGGGCCCGGAAGTGCCAAGAAAAAATTAAAAGGAGGCAGATTTTAGTTCAATTCAAAGAACTTTATGATTATCAGAATTATCATAGATGTTGAAAAAAGATGCTCTATGAGGTAGTGAGGTCCCTGTCACTGGAGGTGTTTCAGTGAAGGCAGAAGGAACACATGCAATTATGGGGAGATCTGTGTATCAGATAGAGCCCAGACCGATGTCCCTAAGGCCCCTTTGACCATAGCCATAATTATTCAAGGACTGATGACAGGAGGCTGTGCCTGACCTGCTCTCCCACCCACACGTGTCTTGCAGGCATTGTGTTCCATTACAGAGCCATCTCCACGCGCTACACGCTGGACTTTGACAGGGCACAGCGTGCCTGCCTGCAGAACAGTGCCATCATTGCTACACCCGAACAGCTGCAGGCTGCCTATGAGGACGGCTTTCACCAGTGTGACGCCGGCTGGCTGGCCGACCAGACTGTCAGGTGAGCCCCTGGGTGGGCGCTGGGCTATAACCCCGGCCAGCATGGAGTTGATGCCAGCGTGGGTTGGGGCTGGAGTAATGCCTGGGCCAACTCTAACAATCCTCATATCATTGCTCAGAAACAGACATTCAATTTGGGATTGTTCGGTTGTGCTATGAAGAAAGATATGATAATGTTTCATGTTTCAGGAATTCTGCAAGCAAAAAATTGATCATGTGCTTTTCTAGATAGCTCTACTGCTACAGTGAGAATAATTTTATTAGCTGATAGGAATTTTAAAATAATACAGAACTTACACAGAAGGCCTTTATGTGCCTTACTTTTTTTTTTTTAAGGGGGCTTATGGTATTCATTTGAAGATGCAGCCTGAGCAATAAAGCAAATGTGCCCCTTGTCTCAGACCATCTCAGACATGCTCAGGCGGGAGCTCCCCTGGGGCTAGGACACATTCTGGAGTGTCTGGTGTCTCTGCTTATAGAAATGACATGGCACCCCATGACCTGTCCAAATCCTTGTTACTCTGCCCTGCAGCAGAGTGAGAGCTCCTAGCAACTTTGCCTTCTGTGTGCTGTTCTCTGTGCAAATTACACATCATTACTCTTCCTGCCCATGTTCTCCTTTGCCATGGTTTCTTCACTGTTTCCTGAAAGTTTGGTGCTTTGTGTATTTTTATGTAAACTGCTTGTGGGTTTTTTTGTTGTTTTGTTTTTTAATAGGCAAGGCAAGACATACATAAATTTAGCTTTTTGGCATCTTTTTCCCTGAGTGCAGCTGCTGATGGATGGGTAACCCAAAAGGACAGATAGCGCTCTGCCCTCAAGGGATCTCAGCCCGTGAGAGAGAGCCTGTTAAGGCAAGATGAGACATTGCTTCAGGGTGGAGAGAACTCTGAACGGAAAAGCCAGAAGTGCAAAACCTCTGGAAGAAAACAAAGGAAAATATCTTTACAATTCTGGGATAGATCTTTGAGATCTTAGAACACAAAAGCTGCCAAGAGGAAAACAAAATGAGACAGCAGCCTAGAGGAATGCAAGACCCACATCAAACCCACACAGAAAGAGCTGTGTGACCTTGGACAAATTGCTTAAGTCTCTGGTCCCACCCCCACCCCACCCCCGTTTCTTCCAGGTTAAAATGGAGTGTTTATAGCACTTGCCTCATTAGGTTGACATGAGATTCAAATGATAGTCAGCAAATGACGGCCCACGGGCCAAATCCAACCCACCCTTGTTTCCTTACGTAAAGTTGTGTGGGAACTCTGTGGCTGCTTCACACTACAGTGGCAAAGTTGAGGGGTCAAGATGAGACCCTAGGAGCTGCAAGACCTAAAATATTTACTATCTGGCTTTTCTGCAGAAAAGGTTTGCCGGCCCGGGATAGAACATGTTCGGTATTGATAAGTATTCGGTAAAGGGAGCTGCCCATAAATCACCTATAACTGTGGTAACATTTATCTCAATGAAGTGCAGGAAAAGGTGTAAAAATAAATTATGTGTGTATCCAGGGCAGATACTGGCAAATGTGTCCATGAGTCACTGTTTCCTCCCACATGGGAGGAGGATACAAGGGCACAGACCACAGGCCCCTTCTGTTCTCTTCTGTCCCCTGACGCCCACTCTGGGTTCCTGACAGGTACCCCATCCACACCCCGAGGGAAGGCTGCTATGGAGACAAGGATGAGTTCCCAGGCGTGAGGACTTATGGCATCCGAGACACCAATGAGACTTATGATGTGTACTGCTTCGCTGAGGAGATGGAGGGTGAGGTCCTGCCCCCCCCCCATTCCCAGGACCCTTCCCTGTCCCCTTCCCCCCACAGATACCAGGGATCACATGGGCCTTCTCCGGGGCAGAGCACTAACTCAGGGCAGCACACACCAGACCTACCCTCTCTGCCATGCCCAGAGAGGGTGGGGGAGGGAGGGTGGGGGAAGGAAGGGGCCCACAGATCCCTCACTCTCCACTTTGGGAAGGGCCTGAGTAGCCATGGGCACCTGCCAACTGTCTGGCATGACTGCTTGGCCCAAGACTATCTCTGTTTCTGGACTGGGACTGCCCCTCTCAGTCAGGATCCCCAACTGCTCTGACCAGCCCATCACTCTCCCGAGGTTCACTGTACCAGTAAAGTCCAGCCCAGTCTTGTCACCCTCACAGGACATTCCAGGCCACTCCAGGGTGGGCCCATCAGAAATGGAGTTCCAGGGCACCTGGTGGCTCAGTTGGTTAAGTGTCTGCCTTTGGCTGAGGTCATGATCCCAGGGTCCTGGTATTGGACACCACAAAGAGCTCCCTGCTCAGCGGGGAGCCTGCTTCTCCCTTTCCTTCTGCCTGCTGCTCCCCTGCTTGTGCTCTCTTGCTCTCTCTCTCTCTCTCTCTCTGTCAGATAAATAATAAAATCTTTTAAAAGAAAAGAAAAGAGATGTAGTTCCCAGGAGAGCTGGCTGCCCTAGCACCCTCTCTGGCTTCCCTCCTTCCAGCCCCCAGCACCATCCAGTCTGGCCCAATGGGCTCTTCTGGAGAGCCCCAGCAGTAGCAAGAAGGAAACGAGTCTTTCTCTGCTTTGTAAAGGGTGCTAATTTTGGTCCAAGCGAGCTTCTCCAGTTACCCAGGCATGTGGGTGACGCCCCTTCTCCCATTGGCACCCATCACCCCTTTTGACATTCCAGGCTCTGCTGCCTCAGCTGCCACCCCCACCTAAGTTCACAGCTTCCCCCCCCCCTCCCCGGCTGGGGATAAGACCTGACAACCTGGCTCATTCTGAGGCAGGTACATTCCCCTGCTTTCTCACCCCCAGGCTCCCTTTCCTGATTCTCACCCCTGGGCCCAGAGCCTTTTAAGCAGCAAGTATTTGTGTTCCCACTCTTGACTAACCAAAGACATGACCAATCAGAGTTGCCACTAAGCAAGGACAACCAGTGCCTTCCCCAGGAACAGATGCCCACCACCCACCCCTACCCCCCCATACAACCTTCTTAGGTTTTGGAAATAGTACAAAGAGTTCGCAAGCCCCCACTATGCCCTTTATGGACGCTTCGGGGCCTAGAGACCCTGTTTTGGGAACCACTGCTCTGAACGTCAAAGTCTAATGCCTGCTCTTCCCATCACAATTTGAATCTTTTTAAAGGATTGCTTGTGTGGGCAATGCTTAACACGTAGGAAAGATGGAAAGATGCCCTGGGAGAGGGCATGTTTCACAGCAGGGCATGACCCAGGATGCTTTGGAGCAGGAGTATGGAACCTAGGAACCCTGTGGATTCGCTGGGGATGCACAGCAGGAGTGGGGATGGAGGTCCTCACCCTGTGGCCATGTCCTTCGCAGGTGAGGTCTTCTATGCAACATCTCCGGAGAAGTTCACCTTCCAAGAGGCAGCCAACGAGTGCCGGCGGCTGGGCGCCCGGCTGGCCACCACGGGCCAGCTCTACCTGGCCTGGCAGGGCGGCATGGACATGTGCAGTGCCGGCTGGCTGGCTGACCGCAGTGTGCGCTACCCCATCTCTAAGGCCCGGCCCAACTGTGGAGGCAACCTCCTAGGCGTGCGGACCGTCTACCTGCACGCCAACCAGACAGGCTACCCGGACCCCTCATCCCGCTATGACGCCATCTGCTACACAGGTAGGGGCAGGAGCCAGGGGGCAGGCGTAGCACCACGGAAATTGGGGCCCAGAGGAGGGGAGCTTAGAATGGGGGCTGGTTTCTACCCCCTCAAGGGGCCACAGGGTAGCTGAACCCCATGTCTCAGCAGCCCTTGTTTTCACTAGCTCCTAGAAGAGCTAAGGTAGCAGCACTGTAGGGACAGGATCCAGCCCATCTCATCTGCTCAGAATAGGGTTAAAAGCATGAGCTTTAGAGTCTGTGTTTGCTCAGGTTTGAATCACAGCTCTGCCACATGCGACTGTGCAAAAAAAAAAGCCTCCATGTCCCCCTCCATCTGAGGGGCAGGTGGCAGGGCCCTGATGCAAAACCATGCCCCACCCAGGTGGGCGCTGTTACCCATCCTCTTGAATCCAGTGTGCTTTAAAGAAGGGCCATGTTGTTATTGAAAAGAGTCAGTGTAGTGGGGAGAGTGGAGGGGGGGGGGGCTGCAGTTTTGACCAGCAACTCACTTTGAAAATTTAGATTACAACTTTTAAAAATAAGATTTTTATCTTCTATTTTACACGGTCGAGGTTTTAATTACAATTACATGCTGATTTTTAGAGGAAAATGTGGGTCATAAGGAGCTGCATCACATTTGTGACAAAATTGGTGACAGCCCAATGGCCTAGCTGACTTCATGTTTGGCTCTCGCAGCGTGACTTTACATGAAGAGGGGTGCTTTTGCAAAAGTAATGAGGATTTTCCCCAAAGCCTCTCTTAACCTTTCAATATCCTAACCAGGCTTTTTGAAGTGGTAGCACGCTTGTGGGTTTCCTCTTTCTTAAATTATTGACTGGTTTGTGCCTGCCAGACCCTCATTTACTCATGACCGAGGCAGGCAATGCCCTTATGTCACTTTCATCCATGTCATGGGCTCCCACATCTTTGGCAGGATTTTTCAATTCTACTTTGTAACTGATTTACACTGTCCTGCTGGCTAGTTACAACTTCAGAACCCAGAAGATAGGTAGGGAGGCGGTGGGCATTGATCAAGAGGGGATGTTGGAGCCAGACTGGTTGGTTATATAAGCTGTGAGCCGCTTGTTCAATATGTCATGCTATGGTGACTTTGCACTATTTTGCAACATGGGAACTGAGGCCTTCTAGAATGAGTACTCTACGGCATAGTTGAGGCCACCTGCAATGGGCCCAGCCAGGCACACAGTAGGTGCTTTCCATCCCCGGCAGGGAAGGAGGTGGATCTGATGCCCATCTGCCTCAAGCCAGTCCCAGGTTGAGCCACTAAAGTTATCTTTTCCCCTACCCCAGGTGAAGACTTTGTGGACATCCCAGAAAACTTCTTTGGGGTGGGTGGTGAGGAGGACATCACCATCCAGACAGTGACTTGGCCTGATGTGGAGCTGCCCCTGCCCCGAAACATTACTGAGGGTGAAGCCCGAGGCAACGTGATCCTCACTGTGAAACCCATCTTTGACCTCTCCCCCACTGCCCCGGAGCCTGAGGAGCCTTTCACATTTGTCCCGGAGCCCGAGAAGCCCTTCACTTTCGCCACCGATGTAGGGGTCACTGCTTTCCCTGAGGCCGAGAACAGGACTGGAGAGGCCACCAGGCCCTGGGGTGTTCCCGAGGAGTCCACACCTGGCCCAGCCTTCACCGCCTTCACCAGTGAGGACCATGTCGTGCAGGTGACTGCAGTCCCAGGCGCGGCCGAGGTGCCCGGGCAGCCACGATTGCCGGGGGGTAAGTGCCCGCCCCTCGGGGGGCTGCATGGGGGTTGGGGGCCACATAGAAAGAAGTAAGCTCTATACCTTTAACTCAGCCTGAGACCTGGGCCAAATATTTCTTCTCTCATACTCAGTTCTCCTTGCTTATAAAACAAGGGGATGGGCCAGACAGTGATCTCTGTGCTCCTTTGCCACAAAGCATTTTCTTCAAATGAAGTCCTAGGTGGAAACCAGACTAGACATCAAACCAGTAAAGATGCCGCATGGGTCTAGGTGAAGTGGAGGAAAGAACTGGGGCTCTTTGGTCCAGGCCCCATCCCCCATTCCATCAGTCACTGCCACAGGACAGAGGCCACTTGAGAACTGCTATGTGAGGTGATCCTGGGGCTTCTTACTGAGCTGACCTTCCAGGACAGGGGTCAGCAAACCAAGCTCTAACAGCCATATCGCCTTGCCACTTGTTTTGTTTTCTTTTAATTTTATTTATTTATTTATTTATTCATAAGAGACACAGAGAGAGAGAGAGAGGCAGAGACATAGGCAGAGGCAGAAGCAGACTCCCTGCAGGGAGCTCAATGCAGAACTCAATTCCAGGACCCCTGGATCACAAACTGAGCCAAAGGCAGATGCTCAACCACTGAGCCACCCAAGTGCCCCATTGCCACCTGTTTTTATATGGCCCACGAACTAAGGGTAGTTTTACAGGGTTTTTTTTTTTTAAGATTTTATTTATTTATTAGAGAAACAGAAAGAGAGACAGGCAGAGGGAGAAGCAGGCTCCATGCAGGGAGCCCGATGTGGGACTGGATCCCGGGTCTCCAGGATCACACCCTGGGCTGAAGGTGGCGCTAAACTGCTAAGCCACCAGGGCTGCCCAGTTTTACAATTTTATTTTATTTTTTTAAATAAATTTATTTTTTATTGTTGTTCAATTTGCCAACATATAGAATAACACCCAGTGCTCATCCCATCAAGTGCCCACCTCAGTGCCCATCACCCAGTGACCCCCACCCCCCGCCCACCTCCCCTTCCACCACCCCTAGTTCGTTTCCCAGAGTTAGGAGTCCCTCATGTTCCGTCTCCCTTTCTGATATTCCCCACTCATTTTTTCTCCTTTCCCCTTTATTCCCTTTCACTATTTTTTATATTCCCCAAATGAATGAGACCATATAATGTTTGTCCTCTGATTGACTTATTTCATTCAGCAATTTTAAATAATTGGCAGACAGGGGCTTCTGGGTGGCTCAGTGGTTGAGCATCTGCCTTCGGCTCAGGGCATTATCCCAGAGTCCTGGGATTGAGTCCCACATCGGGGTCCCCACAGGGAGCCTGCTTCTCCCTCTGCCTATGCCTCTGCCTCTCTCTCTGTGTGTCTCTCATGAATAAATAAATAGAATCTTTTTTTTTTAATTTTTTTAATTTTTATTTATTTATGATAGGCACACAGTGAGAGAGAGAGAGGCAGAGACACAGGCAGAGGGAGAAGCAGGCTCCATGCACCGGGAGCCTGACGTGGGATTCGATCCCGGGTCTCCAGGATCGCGCCCTGGGCCAAAGGCAGGCGCTAAACCGCTGCGCCACCCAGGGATCCCCAAATAAATAGAATCTTTAAAAAAATAAAAATAAATGAATAGTTAGCAGACGAAGTCAAAGTAAGAATAATATTTTGTGACATATAATGAAAATTACGTAAAATTCAAGAGTCGGTATCCACAAATAAAGTTTGATTGGAACAAAGCCACACTGTCTTGTCAATGCGTTGTCTGTGGCTCATTTAGGGCTGTCACGGCAGAGTTGAATAGCTGTGACAGAAACCATTGAGCCCACAAGGCTAAAATCTGTCCTGGCTGGCTCTTTCCAGAAAATGCTTGCCAGCCCCTGTTCTAGGATAGGGGCGTTCCAGGGATTTACTCAAGGTCTGGGGCTCAGGATGTCATGTCCCAGAGAGCCCAGCTGTTCCCCAGACTCCAATCCAAGAAAAGGAAGGACATTCTGGGGTGGCTCTCATAAGGGCCTTGGTGGTGCCCTCTTCTGGGGGAAGAGCAAGTGGACACTGCCATCCATCATCATATCCACGATGCCACCAAGTGGAATTTCAGCCTGAATTGCCAAATACAATGTGTTGGGGAAGTTTTGGGGTAACACCTGTGATGGCTGGGTCCCAGGGTTAGCCCAGGACTGGAAAGAGTGCCACTGGCACCATGTGGGAAGGTGCCAATGGACAGATGAGCATCTGCTACAGGACAGGATAAGGGATTTGGGACAGTATCAGACCAGGGATACGAAGCTGTGACATAACCTGGCCAATCACCCAGGGAAGTGTCAGAAATAGAAACAAATGTGTATGTAGCCAAATACAAGAGAGGCAGAGTAAGTGGGCAGCTCAAGGAAGGGCTCTAACCCTTTGAGAACTTGGTAAATGCTACAAGGCCACATCCGAGAATGTGTCCAGGGCACACCCGTAAAAACTCTGGCAGACACTCTCAGGGCAACCACCACCCCCCACCCCCGGGCCCTGGGCCAGGTGGAAGAAATTCCAGTCATTGTTTGATGTATTCCTTAGCCTTTTCTGTATTTTCCTAATGTTCTGTAATGAATGCGCATTCTTTTTATCATGAGAAAAAATGCATTTGTTTTAAAGAGTAAAGGAACAAATGAGCAGTTTAGAAGTGAGGAGCCCAAAGAGGAGAGTTGGGGACACCCAGGGCAGAAGAGTCCTCAAAGGCTCTTTCAGGGAGATGGATTTCAGAAACAGCTTGAATAAGCAGAGGGAACCAGGTTGGTTGAGAATAGGAATGGAAGTAGGAAAGGCAGGAGGGGATTAAGGGAAGTCATTCCCCGAAGTCATTCCCAGGTCTCTCTCACTGCCCTCAAAGCCAAAGAACCATGCCCCACGGGCACCTGCATTGTGCTATCCAGTCCATGCCCTGAGCTTACCTTGTCTTTCCTTCTCTTCCTCTCCTCCCCACCCAGGGGTTGTGTTCCACTACCGCCCAGGCTCCACCCGCTACTCACTGACCTTTGAGGAGGCTCAGCAGGCCTGCCTACGCACTGGGGCTGTCATCGCCTCTCCTGAGCAGCTCCAGGCTGCCTATGAAGCTGGCTATGAACAATGTGATGCTGGTTGGCTGCAGGACCAGACTGTCAGGTGAAGGACGAGCCACCCACCCCCCCCCCCGACCCCTGCCAGCCCAAAGCCAACCATGAGAGGTTGGGCTTGGGGAGCCAGAACCCGTCACTCACCCAGCAGAGCGGGCACCCGCTACACTGTGCAGTAATTAATGACTCCATGGCTACTCCTCTAATTACCCCCCCAGAACCAAGCATATTCTGAGCTAGTAGGGAAGGGCTCCAGGTGACATTAAGTCCTTGGTCATTTACCTCCAAGAGACAGAGAGGGAGAATCTCAAAGGCCCCTGCCCTCGTCCCCTCCAGCTTGACCCAGTGCCCTCCCATATAACGAGCTCTCTTCTGAAGCCAAGAATCCCCTAGGGGCTTCCAGACCCTTCCCCCAGCCACATAGGTCGCTTATTGCATGAGAACCTCCCTTCCGGTGTGAATCCCACCAGACAACTGAAGATACACCTTGCTTGAGCCTCCGAGAGACCTGCCAGCCTCTGCCTGGGCCCTGTGTCCCCCAACCCCTGGAATAGGCCTTCATGTGTCCCTCCTGCCCTCCATTGCAGATACCCCATTGTGAGCCCACGGACCCCGTGTGTGGGTGACAAGGACAGCAGCCCGGGGGTCAGGACCTATGGTGTGCGACCACCATCAGAAACCTACGATGTCTACTGCTATGTGGACAAGCTTGAGGGTATGGGCCACATTCTTGAATTTTGGGGGAGACACAAAAAGGAGGGGGAATTACCATCTACTCAGTTCTGTTCCTGTTTGAGAAAGGTCGGCCTAGGCCCTGTCTCAGATCAAGCTCCTTTTCTTCCTCCTGCATAGTTCCTGTGGATTCCCCCAGCACTGCAGGCAAGCATCAGTTCCTTAAAAAAGCAATGAGTTATGCTGATAAATGAATCTTTACTTATTACAAATAAATGCTACATACGCCATCTGCCTCATGGAGAGTCCTGATGGCCAGGAACAAATCAAAGGCTCTGAGAAGTCCTGCAGTAGAAAGCCTCTTTAATGCTGTTTAACCTTAACCACAGGCCTTTTATTTTGTTTCATCTCATTTCTTTTAATTTCAATTATAGTCACCAAATTACTATCCTAGTGAACCAAATTTTGGAAATGCTGGTGTTCTGGAAAGATTTCAGCATACCCACTCACTTGTTTTGGGACCTGGAGCAAGTTACCTAACCATTCTGGGCCTTAGTATCCTCATCTATAAAATATGAGCTGATTGTGTGCATATCAGAGACTCTTGTGAACATTAAATGAGATACATATGAGAAGTTTCTGGTACAAACAGGTATTCAGTAAATGTGAACTTCCTTCCCCCAAATCAGTCAGGCACCTGGGAACCATTCTGGATGTGGGGATCCAAACCACAAGAGTGGCTACAGGACCCACTCTCCCCTCGATAAGCTCCCAGGGGTGGGGATGGGGGACTGCAGGCCCGCAGCATATAGATGCTCCATGCTTCAGTGCTGTGGTATAGGGGAGCACGGGGGGGGGGGGGGACAGAGGGAGGGTTAGAGGGAGGGTGCCGACAATCTGCCGACCAGACAATCTAGAGAAGAGGGAAGGAGGGAAGGTTGCTTCCACGTAGAGTGACCAACTGGTCTCAATTCAGTTGTCCTGCACCGCACCCCCTGCCCCTGGTGAGCAGAGGCTGCTTTGGCTGTAGGCAAGAGGGTCACACCTGCCACCTGCTTCTTCCCCCAGGGGAGGTGTTCTTCATCACACGCCTGGAGCAGTTCACCTTCCAGGAAGCCCTGGCATTCTGCGAATCTCATAACGCCACCCTGGCCTCCACTGGCCAGCTCTATGCTGCCTGGAGCCAAGGCCTGGACAAGTGCTATGCCGGCTGGCTATCAGATGGCAGCCTCCGTTACCCCATTGTGACCCCGAGGCCCTCCTGCGGTGGAGACAAGCCAGGCGTGAGAACTGTCTACCTCTACCCCAACCAGACAGGCCTCCCAGACCCACTGTCCCGGCACCATGCCTTCTGCTTCCGAGGTATGTGTTCTCCCCTCTCCTCCAGCCTCCCTTCAGGCTGGGGCATGACTCCTCTGGGTTCACCCTTTCTGGCTCCTGTCCACTATCCCCATCTATCAGAGCAAGGAGGAAAAAGTCAGCCCCTCTGGGGCAGGGGCAGCTTTGGAGCTAGCATGACCTTAGCCATTGACCCCAAAGCAAGTGCATCCTTCTAAAGGTCCCCAGAGACAAGCAGAGAGAAATGAGTGAGAACTGGGGCTCTCAAATCAGGCAGACCTGAATTTTAATTATAGTTCTGCTGCTTAGTAGCTGTATAACCCAGGACAAGTTACTTAACCTCTCTCTGTTCCTCTGCTTCGTCTATAAAATAGTGATATAATAGTTTCTACATCAAAGTTGCTCTGCAGATCGACTGGGGTAACGTACAAAACACTTGGCATTGTGCCCGGGACATAGTAAATTCTCGGTAATGTTAGCCTTAATATTAAAAATAACACACACACACACACACAAATAAAAATAAAAATAACACACACAGACACATACATATATACTGTTTTCATGTGTACACCCTTGCCAAATTTTCTCCTGCTTGTAAATATGTTTGTGGTGAGTTGAGTCAAAGTATTCTATGACTCTTTGCTAAGCGCCAGAAATTCAGGTTTTTAATTGACCCACGCTGAGGACCTTGTCACATCAGTCAATCCTCATTACCTGTCAGAGTTCTGAGAGTGATGTCATCAAACAGACCAGGGGGTGTGGCTAGGGCATGGCCAAGGCCGTGCTGGGCTCTGACCAGAAGAGATCCTCAGGTCTTCATCTACTGGAATATAGATTGTAGTCACGGCTTGTGCCATGTTTTATATATGATACATCAAAACTGAGTGTCTTTCTAACTTCCTGCGAATGTATAGTTATTTCAAAACAAAGTTAACAAAAAATAAAACCTGAGCAGTCCCCAGCTTCTCAGACTTCCAGGGTCACCTTTTAAAACCCAATTCAAAGGAAGTTCAGCCCCACTCCGCCAGCCTCAAGAAAGCCAAACCCCTCCCAGAGGATGTGTTGAGGCTCCTGGCCAGTATCACTCTCCCTGCTCTGGACAGCAGAAGCCGAACCAGTTAGCCTCCCAGTACATTCTTAGCCATGCACTCTCACTATCCCCTGACCCTCAGAGCCCACCTGCTGGTTTCCCCCTAAATCCAGTTACCCACCTTCAATAAATCCTGCCTTCACCCTCCAGTGCCAGGATGACTTCATTAATTTTAAATAGCAGCCTCCTATATTTGACCCAGACACGCTTGGTACATAATTTCTGTCCCCAAGAAAAGCAGCATCATGCCATAGTTGAGAGCAGAGTCTGGCACCAGATGCTTGCGTTTGGAGACTCGATCTGCCACTATAAGCCACTGACCCTGGGCAAGTCATTTAACTCTGTGCCTTAGTTTTCCTATCTGCAAATAAAATCATAGTATCTGTGTCATAAGGCTGTTATGGGATAAAATGATTTAATTTACATTAACGCCTTTAAACAATGCCTGACATATGTAATACATTCTGCAGAAGGGAGATCCGGGGCCACCCTGAAATAATGTGTGTGTGCTGATGGTGTGTGCATATCAGTATTGTGCAAGTGAGGCAATCAACCCTCATTGAGGAAGATGGGAGCCATGTCACTAAGCTTGGGGAAGGGGCGGGGGTTGAGGTCCAGCAAGGTTTTTGCACCAGTCTGATACCCCTCAAAATCCCCTAGTCCCCCTGCAGAAGGGCCTGGGATGGGTCACTGGCAGGAAGGAATGCTCACAGCCTACCTCTTTTTAGGTGTCTCAGCAGTACCCTCTCCAGGAGAAGAGGAAGGTGGCACACCCACCCCCTCTGTAGTGGAGGACTGGATCGCTACCCAGGTGGGGCCTGGTGTGGCTGCTGTCCCCATGGGGGAGGAGACAACTGCAATCCTGGACTTCACCATTGAGCCTGAAAACCAGACGGAATGGGAACCAGCCTACAGCCCAGCGGGCACTTCCCCACTGCCAGGTCTGTGCAGCTAGGTCTCTGGGGCATGTCCTGAAGTCTGTCCTATCTGCCTAGGGTATGCCACAAGGGAGCTCTGTCTCGCCAGCCCTGACACTAGCTGGATGTGCTGCCGTGGACAGTGTCAGCCACCTCAACTGGCCTCTAGGACAACCGCCAAGTGAAAGAAGGACACCCTTGTTCACAAAACACATCTCTCTCTCTCTCCTTCTCTCTCTGCACTCCCCAACTCACTGTACCCATCTTTTTCTTTCTCTCACTTCGCACTGCAGTGCCCATCACTGAGCCAATCAGAGGGCTCTCATTCTATCTTCCTACATTTACACCGTTACCCTCTAACCTTTTAAAATCTCTCTTTAGGAAGATCTTCAATAGAGGGGAAAGGGGTAGTTGGAAGTATGACCTGTCTCCTTGCTTCACTCCTCCTTCTATGTCCTCTTTTGGGCCAGGCATCCCTAACCAGCTCTTCCAGCCCCATCTATCCTGTGCGATGGGACATGATGGGATGAAAGCTTCAGTCCCCTAGCCTTGTCAGAAAAAGTGTTTAGTGGTTATACGGTTTGGGACATGCTGGCTTACAGAAAGATTAACAGGTTTCTTCACTACAGACCTCAGTGCCTTTGATACACTAATATGTGCTGTAATGCAGAGGGGCTGATGTATTCAAAGTGTTCCAAATGAATCTGACCAAAGGCTTTTTTCTTCCCCATGGAACATTCATATATGGCCCAGTTTGGGTAAGGCTGAATTAAAGCAATGCACAATAATGTGTGTGTGCTTACTAGAAAGCTCACCCAGGGGCATGTTCATTTGAAGAAATGGTATACCAGAGCTTTCCACTACTTTATCTAGTTGCTCATTCAGTGCACTGTTCCCAAGCAATTCAGCCACCCTGAGCACTCCTCTGGGTGCCGGAAATGCAAAGCCCACCATCTCTCCATGCCAGAAGGTGAGGTGGGATTTGGCCCAGAGACCTAGCCCAGCAGCCACACCTGCCTGTGACCTTCCTCACCCTCAGCAAGACAAGCACAACCGAGTCCTGTTTGCTTGAGTTTGTGGCTTGGCACAGGATCCTGGCAACAACTAGTAGGAGTTTCCATGGGAAGGGGCTCTAACGGGCCCATAGAAATATTTTCCATGCTTCAATTCCCTACCACCCTTGGCCATATCAGGAACCATCTGTACTGTTGTTAATTCTATGTCTCTTTCTTTAAATTGACTTGCTTTTAAAAAGAAACCTAAATGTATTTAAAAGAGAAATGTTAGATCATGATTGTAAGTGGCCATCCCAGAGTGTTTCTGGTATATGTATGTGTGTGTGTGTGTGTGTATATATATAGGTGGATATATATATACATATATATATATATATATATATATATCTCCACCTAAAATCCTCTTGTCTGCCACCACTGCTATCCTGAACCCCCCACCCACTTCCAGTATTTACCTTTAAGCCAGAATAGGCTGTGAGCCTGCCCAGTGGACTAGCACCTGCTTGTCTCAGGTTCTCTACCTGAGAAATAAGCCCCAAAGAACATGCAAGGTCCAATCCCAGCTAGGTGGGGTTATTTTTTTTTAAGATTTATTCATTTACTTGAGAGAGAGAATGTGTGGGCAGTGGGGGGAGGGGCAAAGGGAGAGAGAATTTTAAACAGACTCTGTACTGAGCATGGAGCCCAACGTGGGGCTCAGTCTTATGACCCTGAGATCATGGCCTGAGCTGAAACCAAGAGTCAGACTGAGCCACCCAGGCATCTCAGCCAGCAAGGTTATTTTTAAATGCCAAAGGAACAAGATGGAAAGAAAATAGTGCAACTGTGATTATTTAGAATGATGAGACTTTTTCCCTCTGTTTTCCAAATCCTCTGTAACAACACTCTCAGAATTGAAAAAGTTCATATATTTTTCCAAACAGCACTACCTGGCCTCCTCTGCCTCAGAGGGATGGCTTTGGATGAATGATTCTCAAAGTCAGGAGGGGCCTCAGCATTGTCAGGGTTCCAGGATGGGGGAAGTAGGAAAGGGACTTCGTAAAAGACAACATGCTGGGGGTACCTGAGTGGCTTAGTTGGTTGAGCATCTGACTCTTGATTTTAGCTCAGGTCATGACCTCGGGGTCCTATAATCAAGCCTGCATCCAGCTCCCCACTCAAGAGGGGGTCTGCTTGTCTCCCTCTCTCTGCCCCTCTCCCTGCTTGTGCATGTGCATTTCTCTCTCTCTCTCTCTCTCTCTCTCTCTCTCTCTCTCTCATAAATAAACCTTTAAAAAAAATTAAAAAACAAAAGACAACATGCTACCCCTACCCTAGAGTTCCTGATTCAGTGGAACTAGGATGGGGTCTGAGAATTCGCTTTATCTGTCAAGCTCCCAGGTAATGCTGGTGTTGCTGGTAATTCTGATGTTGCCAGTCCAGGGACCACACTTTGAAAATCATGGGTTTAGACAAATGAGATGATCATGTGGAGGTACTTGAGAGGTGATCTTGAATACTTTACATGAGAACCAGACTGCTACTTGCTACTTGCATGGGTTGTGTGGATGGTGCCCCCTGGAGTCTCAAAGAGCACAGTTTCCTGGTCCCCTCCCTCCTTCCTTCCCCAGACCCTGTGCAGGGTTCCAGCAGAAAATATCCGAGCATACCTCTGAAGAAAAGTTTTACCATAGAAGGAATGAGTGAGCTTAAAAGAGAGCAGAGTTACTAAAGACACACCTCATCTTCTTCCTTTCTTCCAGGGATCCCTCCAACATGGCCTCCCACCAGCACAGCAACAGAGGAGAGCACAGAAGGCCCTTCTGGAACGGAAGTGCCCTCAGTCTCAGAGGAGCCATCCCCCTCAGAGGAGCCATTCCCCTGGGAGGAGTTGTCCACACTTTCACCCCCAGGGCCCAGTGGGACTGAGCTGCCAGGCTCTGGGGAGGCATCTGGGGTACCTGAAGTCAGTGGTGACTTCACAGGCAGTGGAGAAGTTTCGGGACATCCAGACTCCAGTGGGCAACTCTCAGGGGAAAGTGCAAGTGGACTGCCCTCTGAAGATCTTGACTCCAGTGGGCTCACCTCTGCTGTGGGAAGTGGACTGGCCTCAGGGGATGAAGATAGAATTACATTGTCCAGCATTCCTAAAGTAGAAGGTGAGGGCCTAGAGACCTCTGCCTCTGGAGTCGAGGACCTCAGCGGGCTGCCTTCTGGAAGAGAAGGTCTAGAGACTTCTACCTCTGGAGTCGGGGATCTCAGTGGGTTGCCTTCTGGAGAAGGTCTAGAAGTATCTGCCTCTGGAGTTGAGGACCTCAGTGGATTGCCTTCTGGAGAGGGTCCAGAAACATCTGCCTCTGGAGTTGGGGACCTCAGCAGGCTGCCTTCTGGAGAAGGTCCAGAGGTCTCTGCCTCTGGAGTAGGAGACCTCAGTGGACTTCCTTCTGGAAGAGAAGGTCTAGAGACCTCTACCTCTGGTGTAGAGGACCTCAGTGGGTTGCCTTCTGGAGAAGGTCCAGAAGCCTCCACCTCTGGAGTTGGGGATCTCAGCAGGCTGCCTTCTGGAGAAGGTCCAGAAGTCTCTGCCTCTGGAGTAGAGGACCTCAGTGGATTACCTTCTGGAGAGGGTCTAGAAGCTTCTGCCTCTGGAGTTGGGGACCTCAGTGGGTTGCCTTCTGGAGAAGGTCCAGAAGCCTCTGCCTCTGGAGTTGGGGATCTCAGCAGGCTGCCTTCTGGAGAAGGTCCAGAAGTCTCTGCCTCTGGAGTAGAGGATCTCAGTGGATTATCTTCTGGAGAGAGTCCAGAAGCTTCTGCCTCTGGAGTTGGGGACCTTAGTGGGTTGCCTTCTGGAAGAGAAGGTCTAGAGACCTCTGCCTCTGGTGTAGGGGACCTCAGTAGGTTGCCTTCCGGAGAAGGTCAGGAAGCCTCTGCCTCTGGAGTAGAAGACCTCAGCAGATTGCCTTCTGGAGAAGGTCCAGAAGCCTCTGCCTCTGGAGTAGGGGAGCTCAGCGGGTTTCCTTCTGGAAGAGAAGGTCTAGAGACCTCTGCCTCTGGTGTAGGGGACCTCAGTGGGTTGCCTTCTGGAGAAGAGGACCTCAGCATATTACCTTCTGGAGAAGGTCCAGAAGCCTCTGCCTCTGGAGTAGGGGACCTCAGTGGGTTGCCTTCTGGGAAAGAAGGTCTAGAGACCTCTACCTCTGGTGTAGGGGACCTCAGCGGGTTGTCTTCTGGGAGAGAAGGTCTAGAGACCTCTACCTCTGGTCTAGGGGACCTCAGCGGGTTGCCTTCCGGAGAAGGTCCGGAAGCCTCTGCCTCTGGTATAGGGGACATCAGTGGGCTGCCTTCTGGAAGAGAAGGTCTAGAGACCTCTTCCTCTGGAGTGGAGGATCATCCAGAGATTTCTGCCTCTGGAGTAGAGGACCTCAGTGGATTGCCTTCTGGAGTAGAGGGTCATCCAGAGACTTCTGCTTCTGGAGTAGAGGATCTCAGTGAACTTTCTTCTGGAGGAGAGGGTCTAGAGACCTCTGCTTCTGGAGCTGAGGATCTCAGTGGGTTGCCCTCTGGAAAAGAAGACTTGATTGGGTCAGCTTCTGGAGCCTTGGACTTTGGCAGAATACCTTCTGGAACTCTGGGAAGTGGGCAAGCTCCAGAAGCAAGTAGCCTCCCCTCTGGATTTAGTGGTGAGTATTCAGGGGTGGACTTTGGGAGTGGCCCATCCTCTGGCCTACCTGACTTTAGTGGACTTCCTTCTGGATTCCCAACTATCTCCCTCGTGGATACCACATTGGTGGAAGTGATCACAACCACCTCTGCAAGTGAACTGGAAGGGAGGGGAACTATTGGCATCAGTGGTGCTGGAGAAACATCTGGGCTGCCCGTCAGCGAGCTGGACATTAGTGGGGCAGTTAGTGGACTCCCTTCAGGAGCTGAACTCAGCGGCCAAGCATCTGGGTCTCCTGATATGAGTGGGGAAACATCTGGGTTCTTTGGTGTCAGTGGACAGCCATCAGGGTTTCCTGACATCAGTGGGGGAACATCTGGGCTTTTTGAGGTCAGTGGGCAGCCATCAGGGTTTTCTGGGGAAACATCTGGAGTGACTGAGCTTAGTGGGCTGTACTCTGGACAACCAGATGTCAGTGGAGAAGCCTCTGGAGTTCCTTCTGGCAGTGGTCAACCATTTGGCATAACTGACCTGAGTGGAGAAACATCTGGGGTCCCTGATATCAGCGGGCAGCCATCGGGGTTGCCAGAGTTCAGTGGGACAATCTCTGGAATCCCTGACCTGGTTTCTAGTACCATGAGTGGCAGTGGTGAATCTTCTGGCATTACGTTTGTGGACACCAGTTTGGTCGAAGTGACGCCAACTACATTTAAAGAAGAAGAAGGTTTAGGGTCTGTGGAACTCAGTGGACTCCCTTCAGGGGAGGTGGATCTCTCGGGCGCATCTGGGACAATGGATGTCAGTGGACAATCTTCTGGAGCAACTGACTCCAGTGGGTTGACATCCCAGCTTCCAGAATTCAGTGGCCTGCCAAGTGGAGCTGCTGAGGTCAGTGGAGAATCCTCTGGAGCAGAGATTGGGAGCAGCCTGCCCTCGGGAACCTATGAGGGTAGTGGACTTCCATCCAGCTTCCCCACTGTATCTCTTGTAGATAGAACTTTGGTGGAATCTGTAACCCAGGCTCCGACAGCCCAAGAAGCAGGAGAAGGGCCTTCAGGCATTTTGGAACTCAGTGGTGCCCATTCTGGAGCACCAGACGTGTCTGGAGACCATTCAGGATCTTTGGACCTAAGTGGGATGCAATCCGGGCTGGTGGAGCCCAGTGGAGAGCCATCAAGTACTCCATATTTTAGTGGGGACTTTTCTGGCACCACGGATGTCACTGGAGAACCCTCTACAGCCATGAGCGCCAGTGGGGAAGCCTCGGGACTTTTAGAAGTGACTTTAATCACTTCCGAGTTCGTGGAGGGTGTCACTGAACCAACTGTTTCCCAGGAACTTGCCCAAAGACCCCCTGTGACACACACCCCTCAGCTTTTTGAGTCCAGTGGAGAAGCCTCTGCATCCGGGGAAATTAGTGGAGCTACACCAGGGTTCCCCGGGTCTGGGCTGGAAGCGTCATCAGTCCCAGAATCCAGCAGCGAGACATCTGACTTTCCTGATCGTGCGGTGGGGGTGTCTGCTGCCCCTGAGGCCAGTGGAGGAGCTTCTGGTGCCCCTGATGTAAGCGAAGCCACCTCCACCTTCCCTGAAGCCGATGTGGAGGGAGCCTCAGGCTTGGGAGTGAGTGGTGGCACCTCAGCCTTTCCTGAAGTCCCCAGGGAGGGCTCGGCCACCCCAGAAGTCCAGGAGGAGCCAACCACATCCTATGATGTGGGCCGAGAGGAGTTGGGCTGGCCTTCAACCACTCCAACAGCATCTGGAGACAGGATTGAAGTCAGTGGAGACCTGTCTGGTCACACGTCGGGGCTGGATGTTGTCATCAGCACTAGCGTCCCAGAGTCTGAGTGGATCCAGCAGACCCAGCGCCCTGCAGAGGCGCGTTTAGAAATCGAGGCCTCGAGCCCCTTGCACTCAGGAGAGGAGACCCAAACAGCCGAAACAGCCACCTCCCCTACAGATGATGCTTCTATCCCAACTTCTCCATCAGGGACAGATGAGTCAGCACCAGCCATTCCAGGTACTGTCAGGATTTCTTTCCTTTAAATGTGTTTGGGGCGTTCAGGCTATAGTGCAGTGGGAGGCAGTGTAAATTCAAGCTCCACTGCAGACCAGCTGTGCAGCCTCAGGGCAAGTGTCTTAACCTCTCTGAGCCTCATCGGTAAGATGGGAATAGTAGCAGGGACCTGTTTATATTAAACAGGATATAAATATATGTGGAACAAGCACTTAGTATCACACCTTACACACAGCACACACTTAGAGATAAGTGATTACTATTGTTACAGTGGAATAACATCACAAGAGCATTTATATGTGAATCCAAGAATCTGTACTTGGTGCAGGGAGAGAGAAGGATGATTATTTAGATAGTCCTAGAAATTCTACTCACACTCCTTTCCCGTGGAGTGAGTGTGAGATGAGAGAATGAACCTAATGACCTCTATGCCAAACATTCATGTAGGGTTAAGACCCTGCACAATTTAAGGAACTCTGAAGGATTATTTGGGGGTCCTGACTTTAGCCTTCACCCCCCCCCCCCCCGCCCTTGGCACAGGTGACTGCTCTGCACCATAGAGCCTGTCTCACCAGGCACAGGGAGCTGATGATTGTCCTCTATTTTTTACCTTGGGATCCCTTGTACCTCCCTCTAGGCCAAGAAACCTTTCCCAGTCAGAGAGCCTCCCCCAACACCAGTGAGATGCTAGGACCAGGTGTTCAAGAGGAATAGAGTCCCTAGAAACATGCTCACCCAGAGCCAGCCTCGTAGGTTTCATGGGCCTTATACCCCCAGCTCGAGGTCTGTGTTCTTGATGCTCATCGTCCCCCTGGGAGCTGCAGCCCCCACTAGGTCCTTTGCCAAGGAGCCATGCGGGACCTGCCAGCAGATGAAGGGACACATCATAGGTCTGTGCCCCCCTGGCCACACTGGCCAGCACTGCAATGTAGGTAAGCCCCTCATTGGCCATGGGGGGACAGGCAGGGGAGGGAGGGGCACAGGACTTTTATCCTCAGAATGGGCCACAAGCAGGAGGAGGTGACCAAAGGCAGGTGAGGCCCAGGCTTCTCAGACCGAGAAGGAGGGGTACACAGTGATGCATTAGTGTAGAAGCCGCAGGACAATCATGGCGCATCTCTCTAGAGAGTCTATTCTACATGGCACTTTAGAAGAACAAAGTTCAAGTAATTAAACTGAGAAATAGTTCATTTTGTGTTAAGACAATGGTCATTCTATGAGTCAAATGCCAAATATGCTTGAATTTCCTTTGAAATTCAAAACTTGTGAATTTCAAGAAGTGGGGGAGCTAGGATGTAAATGAGGTAGAACCGGTGGTACCTACCTCACAGGCCCTGGGAGGGTAACTCTGAGGGGGGCTGGTCTTGCATCACGCAGAGCCTCTCCAGGAAAGCCCCTCCCTGCTTGGACCTGGGTGAGATTTGGGTCCCCTTCTTGCCCTGGAGGAAATGACAGGCAGTGTCTGCCACCCGCAGCTCCAGGATTCACGGCTGCGGGTCAGCTGTGACTTTGAAGTGCCCTGCCCCTTGGCACCCACCACTCTGGGGTCTCTGTCCTTAGGCATGGGTCAAACAGCTTGTGGGGTAGGTGAGGAGTCTGGGAAGTCCTCTAATTGGAGGTGGCCCCCAGAACGAGAGATGATGAGGATCTACCTGTGTTCCCTGAACACTTTGAGGCCTGTGGCCATGAGGACGTTTCATCTCATCAGATCACCACCCTTAAGAGAACTGATGCCCTGTTACCTCCAAGCTCATATGCTTGGGGGCAGCTCTCTGCACTGCCCCCACACCCTCACCCCAGCCTCTGTCCCAGAATCATTCATAAAAGGGCTTCATTCCTATGACACAGGCAGAATCAGAGCCACGAATCCTGGGGGAAGGCAGATGCCACAAGACAAATAGGGCCAGGCAGCCGTCTTCCAATAGCCATTACATCATATACAAAGAAAGATTTTGTGTTTGTGTATATTAACATATATGCAACTTAATATATATAAATAATATATATGCAAATATATGTGAGCAAAATAATACATGATTACATCATATAAATATGCTGTACATTTGGCACTTACACAGGAAATGCTCCATGTAAACAGGCAGTGGGGGTGACTGTGATTCACTCTTTTCCTCCACTGGGGTCAGCGTCTGACCTTATGTATGCTTTCCAGCAAGTGAGGCTCCGAGTCCTCAGTCAGCAGGAGGAATGGCTCTGCTGTTTCTTCCCAGACAGCTCTGTGGGTAGCTTGGCAGTTATCCCCACCTGAAACTGCGGCACAGAAAGTTGAGGGATTTGCCTAGCTCCTGACTCCTCTGGAGTCAAATCCAGAACTGGGGTCTTCATTCACTTGTTCAACACACTCAACTAAATCAGAAGCTCCCTCTTGAACATATTCTCAGGTGCTGGTCTTAACTCAGGAGGTGAACTTCAGGGCAACCAGAACAGAGAGAGGTTCTAGAAGTGGGGCTTACTTAGCCAAGCCCTCAGGACCTCATTTGTAATAGGGTCAAAGGTGCTGGTTCTTAGCTTTAAGAATATCCTGATGCCTGGGGTCTCACTCCAAAGATTCAGATTGAAATGGTCCTGTGGCCATGGCATGGGGGTTTTTAAGGCTGCCCAGATGAGTCCAGTGTGCAACCAGGGCTTAGACACTGCTGTATGGGTTAAGAACAATTTATGTACAGCACCTGGCCCCAAGACACATTAATAAAGATTACTTCCCCTTCCCCATCTCTCACTCCAATGTTTAGGAAAAGCAGATTTTTTTAGTGGTTGAAAAAGCAGGGCTATCCTATTCTGATCCACTTAAAAAGCACCAGCATACTCCCCACCTCTGTTGCTGACATTTGCAGAGACATTTCCTGGCTCTTAGGTTTTAATCCTCATTGCTCCTTAGAATCAGCTGGGTGCTAGTAACGAGCACCACACCTGGGCCCCACCTGGACGACCCCAATGCAATTGGTCTGAAGAGGGACTCTGACACTGGTATATTTTTTAAAACCTTTAAAAAAATTTTGTTAACTACCGCAGTAACTCTGATGCACCGCTAAGGTTGAGACATTCTCTTCTAATCACATCTCACATCCAATTTTCCAGCAATCAATGGTGCTGGGTAGATTTCTCTAAACTCCTGGGTTAGAAAGTCATGAACTTAAAATTCAGCCTCTTTTCTATCTTACTGCCATTCTTCACTTTGTAGGCTTGAGGCTCTGACCTATGATCTGACACTGTCTCTTCCCCTAGAGTGGAGAGGTTTACGTTTCAGTGAAATCTTACCCCCAGGGCAGGTGGGGGTGGGGGATGGGGACACTTTCAAAGGGAGTGAAAATACAGGGTTATAAGTACAAATACAAATCACACCTTCATGACTTGACAGAACCGAAAATTCTATGGGCAGATTTGAACAGGGAACTATAGTCGACCCTTGAACAGCCCTGGGGGGTTAAGGGTGTCAGCCTCCGCAAAGTCAAAAACCTGCATATAAATTCTGACTACCCAAATACTTAACTAGTAATGGCCACCTGTTGACCAGAAGCCTGAGTGATAACAGAAAGTCAATTAATACTTATTTTGTAAGTTATATGTATCATATACTGTATTCTTATAATAAAGTAAGCTAGAGACAAGAAAACATTATTCAGAAAATCATAAGGACGGGCGTCTGACTGGCTCAGTCGGTAGAACATGAGACTCTTGATCTCAGGTCATGAGTTCAAGCCTCACAATGGAGATAGAGCTTACTTAATTTAAAAAAAAGAAAGAAAATCATAAGGAAGAGGAAATACATTTATGATACTAAACTGTAAAAAAATCTGCATAAAAAAATCTGCATATAAGCAGACCCACACACAAACCCATGTTGTTCAAAGGCCAACTGTCATTGAATTTAAGAAGCATGATATTAAAGTTACATTCAAGATCAAACTTTAAAAATATAAAAGACTTAATAGTATAATTATAACATACTATTTAATTTGATGATGTTTATTTTAAAAGCAAATTGGAACTGATAAATATGTTCTTATAACCCTTCTGTCCATTGTGATACACCAGAAAGCAAATGTATTTACTCAGGTCTATCCATCTGATTGATCTTAGGTCTTTGCAGGGTTTAGGGCATCCACTGAGCTAAGAAATTGTCTCTGTGCTTCTTGAGGGGATTTTCTCTCATCTTTGTCTAGGAAAGTTATGTCCAGGGTCACCACATACAACTGCACAGGTTGTGCCCTGAACTTGAGTACCCTTCATATCATGCTCTTTATGATTGGCAACCTTTTTAGTTGGGTGTCATTTGAGTCAAAGTACCTGCTGTCACTCTTCCTTCAGCCTTTTCTATGAGCCAAATAAATTCTCACTCCAATGTCCTAGGCTCTGACATAAGCAAAAGCCCAGCAAGACCTAGTCAGGGGGAGGCCTGAGCTCTCCAATTCAGATGCCAAAGTGATCATTTGGAAGTATCTTATTCCCCTTGCTTTCACCAGGAGGCTCTCAGTTATTTTCTCCCTTAAGTTAGATCTGGTTCAGGAACAAATCATCCCTTTTGGTTATAGTAATAGGAAGATTACTCACAGTGCCGACACTCACCAGGGTCCCTGCTCAGAGAGGAAAGGGGAGCCCTTAGCCCTGGTTCAATGGTAATGAGACACCCGAGATTCAAGACTTCAGTGTCCCTCTCCCTCCATGGGGGATAGAGGCCCAACTTTTAGGCCATGTCTGATTCTTTCCTCCTGATTCTTCCGGTCTGTCTCCCTGGCTTACCATCATGGGCAGGCCACTTGTTTCCTTACCTGTCTTACGGCCCATGGCATCTGTGCCCTGGGGCTGTTGGGCTGGTGAAGTGTGTGGGAGTCATAGCATCTGGCTCACGGAAGATTCGTGAGAGAGTGGGTTTTTGTCTTTCCTTTCTTCCTTCCTGCAGTCTGCCCATTACCCAAAGCCCTTCCCATCCCCCACCTGCTGGCACCTGTCTGGGGTCCCCCCTACTCTATGGTAAGCCCAGCTCAACTCCTCTCATGGTTCCAGTAGACCAGCAATGTCCCAGGTGCCCTTCACAGAAAGAGGTGGGCACTGCAAGGGTGCAGTGGCTCTTTCAGTCGGAGGGAGAGGAGATGAGGCCTGGCAGGCCTGAGCAGCTCAGGAGACAGCCCCATGCAGAATGCTCAGCCCCCTTCCTACAGTTGAAGGCCTCCCCAAAGTGCCCTACTGGCACCCACAGGCTCTCTGGTCTTCAGCATGTTGACCCTTCCTCCCCTTCTCATCTGTGAATCCAGGCCCTGCACAAAACAGCTTCTGAACCTGGGAACAGATTCCCTGAGTTTCAGTCCAGAGGTGCCAGGGTTACCATCTGGCTCTTGTGCCCACAGGCCACTCCTGTCCCCTGCTCTATACAACCGCTTTAGCGCCTACATTTGCTTAATGCCCCCTCACCCGGTGCTTCCCATGTCCCACGAGGACGCTAGTGGACACGAGAGAACAGTGTGTCTCCTGGAGCAGGAGAGCAGCCCCCAGCTTCTGCCCAGCCGACCAGCCTGACCTACTGCTGCTACTGCTGCTGCTGGGAATCCTGGTGCATGCTGGGAATCCAAGTGCATGCTGGGACTCGCATCAGTTCCTCCATGCATTTTGGTTTTGCTTGGAACAGTTCCAGCCTTGGAACTGTTGGTCTCTAATCCATGGTGCGCGCTCCCTGAGCTGAAACGAAGAACTCCATGGGAACAGAGAGACACCTGAGGACTTGAGATTTTCAGGCCACCCACTGCCCAAACCCAACTCTGGTCCAGAAGACATCTATCTACTATGCACCAGCTGGCGAAAAGGAGCCACAAGAAAGTGCTTTTGCCTTCTTAAGGGAGGATTGACTTTAAGGTCTAGTCTGCTGTTCTGAGAGGCAAGAAGTAATCCTGCAACATATTTAGGATGCTGCTCATGTGGACACCCATAGGCGATGTCAGGTCCTGAAGGTTGTATGAACACAGCTGCATACACTGAGGCTTAGCCATATACCATGATGCCCCATGAGCCAGTGGCACCCATTCATTGAAGAATCTTATTGATCTCCTGGGAAAAAGAGCTTCACAATACCTTTCATCATGTTCCCAGGGAAAGTAACCCAGAGAAAACCAGCAGGAGCCTTTGTAGTACAAACATGAAGAGAGTAAAAGATCCCCAGGTCTCTGGCTTCTCAGAAAGAGGCAGAAAGACAGGATTAGGAAATTCACTTCTCACTTTGGCTGATGAATAAAAATTGGGGCAGAAGCCAATGGCTTACCAATTGCAGTCCCACAAAGAAGTTGGATTAGAAAGAACATCTTGGGCCGGAAGAACAGAAGGGAGGAAGAGTCTGCCTGGGAAGAAGAGGCTGATGGAGACCTGCCTGTACCCCAGTGTGGTGGCTGGCCACTTACTAAGTGGCTCACCAGCTCCAAATATTGGTCTCCCACTGGCCAGAATGGAGCTCTCTGGAAATTGTGACTCACTGGAGATGTCTACGATCTAAGACCCCAAGCTGGAAAGAGCATGGGGAAATGTTGGGCTGGTTTCTCTTCCTCCTGCCAAGAGAATGATGCTGCCTTCATCTTTAAGATACTCGAGGATTTACTGAAGACAAAGATGTCTGCGACCCCCAAGAATTGAATGAGTCTCATGCATACCTCCCATGCCGCCATTTTCTCATGGTTTTATACTCTCCAGACCACTTCAGGCTTATCCATTCTAGTGCTTCATGGACTTGCCCTCTTGCCTTGGTTCATAACTACAGAGGAAAATAAGAAAAGAAAATTTGATTTCCAGTATCCCTTGCTCACATTCGGAGCCAGTGGAAACCCTAAGGCCTCTTGAAATATTCATAAGAGAAGGCATCTTGGAGGAGCTACATGCTCACTCTTACAGTGGGCATTTGCCTTCAGAAGCACCAGACCTCTTCACTTCACCTGCTGGGAAACCTGGCCCCAGTGCGCCAAGCTTGCCAGTCAAGAATCAGACACATCCAAGAAAAGCCTTGTTGAATCTTTGGCTCAGTGCTCCAATATGGCGGCAGCAGCAGCAGCAGCAACAGCTCTTAGGAAGTCCAGCCACCCCTCCCAGGGCTCTGGAGAGCAGCAGGGCTGGCCACCCATAAAGCACCTGCAATGCTTGCAAAGCAGGAGCTACTGGCAAGAGTCCTAACAGTGGCCCTTGGTTTCTTGCAGACATTGACGAGTGCCTCTCAAGTCCTTGTTTGAATGGAGCCACCTGCGTGGACGCCATCGACTCTTTCACATGCTTATGCCTTCCCAGCTACCGAGGGGACCTGTGTGAGATCGGTACGGCCGTCTCGGCTTCAGCTAATGTTACTAACTGCTGTACCCTCTCCTCCTCCATCACCCTTCCTTCTAACCACAGGCTCTAGGCCCTGGCTGGGGCCCCCGCGGTCCATCCAGACAGCCATTCCAGGGCCTCAACTGAGAAGTCTGCCTCACTCACTCCCACTCTTCTTGCTGGTCCTTGTGGAGACCCTCCTCTGGGGCATTGGCTGATCTGACCGCAGGAGAGACATTGCGGGCTGGACATGCAGGCCTGGCCAAGCCTACACTTTGGAAGGTGGGGCTCTGGGGGATCTTTAAAACACTAACCTTCTTCAGGGCTTCCAGACCTGCTGATACCACCTTGAGGTCGGTGCATGCATCAGAATAAGAGGACAAGGCTGATCTCGTGCATTTGTCTTGAAGGAAGCTATGGGTGGGAGTAATTGGTTCTCTCTCCGGATGACACCGCAGATCTTCCAGCAGGGTCGTGAGCATGTGTCTGCCTGTCGTATTGCCCATGGGACCTTTGTGGTACCTCCATGGCCTTGGGAGCCACCAGGTCATGCTGGCCATGCTACCTCTTTGTTCTCTGGCAGGAGCTCTGTTTTGTCTGCCTGACAGCTCCCGTGTCACCAGCATGCTCAACTCATGCATGAGTGGGGACTGCTGCATGTCAACCTCTGCTCATCACCAATGACAGGTGATGTCAGTGCCATTCCACCCCATGCTTCCTTTTCCCCACTCTTGTGCCAAAAGGCTGGCCAGGGAGAACAGAGCTTCACAGGGGGGACAAGGGGCTGAGTTTCCCCTCTTGGGCCTTGCCAACCTTTGCTTCTGTACCCAGACCAGGCTCTGTCAAGGGAGCTGTGTGCCAGGAATGTCCCAGGGCCAGCTGGAGCCCCCCAACTCTCTCACCTCTGGTGCTTCTAGTCTCCCCCTACCATCCTCCTGGGTCTCAGGGTCATCCCAACTCAGAAGGGGGAGATGAGGGTTGTCATTACTAGTAGCAATAAGCCATGCAGAATGAGAAATCATTTCCTATGATCTGTCAAGTTGGATATCCCAGAAACTTCCGGAAAGCAGATTAAACTCCTGGGAAATCTCCCTTTGGCCCTAAGCAGGGTGGGGAGGCAGTTTTGGGTATTGCATGTTCCTTGGAGGCACTACCAAGATTACAGACTGGTGGAGGACCATAAGTCTTCTGGAAGAAAAGGCCTAGACGCTCTTCCTTCCTTGCAGCCTCCCACCCTCCACCTCCATCCCAAGGCACCAAGGAATTGGGCGTGGTCTTGGCTGGGGAGAGAGTGGAGAGTCATAAGGATCTCTGCCCAGGATGCCAAAATATTTGCCCCAGGAGGAGTGTCTAGCATGTCCACACAACAACAGTTCTTGGATGCCAGACTGGAAAGGAGGCGCTCTGCGGGCATGGAGGCAGGGCCCTCACTGGGCTCTGTGCTCTGGTAGCGTGCAGAGATGGTGCTCCTGCTGCCTAGCTGGGTGCTGGGTCACGTGCCCAGCTAAACAAAGCAAAGCTCCACCTCTTCTCCCATTTCAGTCAGGCGGGTGTTTCAAGCTTGGTTCTGGGCCTGCTGCGCCTTCCCACCTGGCTGGAATGCTGTCCCTGTTTCCCCAGAGCATGCCCTGGCCCCTCCCAGAGCAGTTAAACCCTCCAGGTTGGCCTCCTCAGCCCAACCCTCGGCATGGTCAGCCCTGAAATGATGTCTCTGGCCTCCTCAGGTGCTGAGCTACCTCTGAGGCCTTGCTACCTTCTCTCCAGACCTCTGCCTTGCTCCCTGGAGGAGGTGTTGGCCACAGGGGATTTGTGGCCTCTTCCTCAGCCCTCCTGCTGCTTGGCCTCTTCTCCTTGGGCTGCTGGCCTCTGCATGTCCTCCGTCTCTGCCTTCCCTAAGTGTCTCTCTTCCAACCCCGCCAGGCATCCACCCCTTCAACTGAGCCTCCTTCCTATCAGGTACTGGTCCTCCCTCCCTGGGTCTGCCAGCCTATCAGTGGCACCCAGTAAGGGATGCTCCATGCAGCCTGAGGGGTTCAGGCCCTGCACTCGGGACCCCAGGCAGGAGGAGCAGCCCCTCACCTGGGAGGCCCCAGGGCAAGGAGGAAAAGAGGGTCTCAGAGCCCCCTCCATCCAGTGGTGTACTGGCTGATGTTTAACAACCAGCTCCTGAAGAGGAAGGGGGAGCCCTGATGTGTGGCATCTGCCAGTTTCTGAGCTCTAACACTCCCACCAGGGCCATTTTACAGCTGCCAGCGTGATGTCACTGAAGGCAGAGACGAGAAGACACAGTCCTAACGGCTCCCCCAAGCCTGAAGGATCCAGGTCCTGCCCTGCCTCTATCCCTCCAGGCTGCCCAAGAGCTCCAAACCAGTCCCTTCTCCCCAATGCAGAACCCGTAAACCCAGATAGGTTTGTGAGGAGAGAAGCTCCTCCCTCTGCTCATCTGCCACCAACAAGTTAAATCAGAAGCTGAGGCCCCTGGGTCATGGACACCTGGTTGGCTACCTCATCCTCCAAAAGGGAGGCATCATGTGTCCTGCCAGAGCCAGCCCGGATGGACAGACTTAGAGCTCTGATTCTTCTTCAGACCTGAAGCAGACTTATTTCTGCTCTTCTACACCTACCCGAAGTGCTATTTCATGCCCCCAGGGCTGCCTGCTGCTGCCACCTTTACACACACACCAAAACTACCCCCCCACACACACACACACAGCTCCCTTCCCAGGTCCTCTGGGAGCCCTGAACCATGTTGGCCTTAATCTCAGCACCTCCCCTCTTCCCACTTATTTTTCCTGGCCTCCTGAACCCTGCCAGCTCCACAGAGCAGGTGTCAACAAGGAGGAAAGCTCTGGGGCACTGACATCAGGGAATGTGCCCAGAGGCTCTGGGGCTCCAGGGCCAGGCCTTCCTGGCTTCTGATTTGAGTCGCATCCAGATGGGCCTCTCCCTTCGAGGACAGATGTTGAAGGCGGGTGGATGTTGGAAATGGCATAAGACTGGCCGCACCAGACACCCCCAGTTGGCCTCGGGACCTCTCTCTTCAAGACTCTGACCTGTGTTGCAGACCAGGAGCTGTGTGAGGAGGGCTGGACCAAGTTCCAGGGCCACTGTTACCGCTACTTCCCCGACCGTGAGAGCTGGGTGGATGCGGAGAGCCGGTGTCGGGCGCAGCAGTCACACCTGAGCAGCATTGTCACCCCTGAGGAACAGGAGTTTGTCAACAGTGAGTGTGGGAGGCAAGGGGTCTGTGGCAGAGGGCCTCACTCACCAGGATCCAGAGATGCTGCAGGGGTGGGGGTGGTGGCAGGTGCAAAAAGGGGAGGAAGGGAGTTTTCACAGCCAGGGCTACACCCCGAAGCCCCAGGCTAACACTGTGCCTATCGCTAGGCCATGCCAGCTTGGATGGTGGGCCGAAGTACACTCCAGACATGCGTGTGCTGAAACCCTTGTCAGGCCATAGAAGCAGGTGGCATGCTCCTAGGAACCTACCCACCTCCTGACACCGCCCCCATCCCCTCTGCCTTCTCGAGCTTGTTTCTCAGACCCCCTCAGGGGGTCCAGCACCATGCCCAACACCCATGCCTCTCTCTAGACAATGCCCAAGACTACCAGTGGATTGGCCTGAATGACAGGACCATCGAAGGGGACTTCCGCTGGTCAGATGGACACTCCTTGGTGAGTTCCGCCAGGGGCACTGGGGGGAGTTGGCGGCCCAGAGATGGGGAATAGCGATCGCCATAGAGAGGTGTATTCAGACCACATACACTCACTGAGCAGCTGCCGGTCTGGGAGCCCTGGGTGCAGGGACTGCGTCTCCGTCATCTCTGCCAGGACTGGGCCAGTCGAGGGCACCCTGGCATGAAGGAAGAGGGAGGTGAGGAAGACCATGAGGGAATGCAGACACACCACCAGAAGGGATACATGGGGACATTCGAAGGCTTCCTTGCCCACAGAGGACTCTGTCTACTAAAGGAGGCAGGCAGACAGAAAGCAACATAGACACCAAGGGACAGTGCACATAGTAAATGCTGCAGATCAGCAGGGGACGTCAGGGAAGGCTTCCTGGAAGAAGTGAATGGGAACAGGGTCGTGGGTGGGGGAAGGGGACTCTGTCCCATGGCGCAGCAGGAGGGAGAAGCCTAGGGAGACACTTTGGACTTGGGAGCCATGTCTCTACCATGGGGTCCTATCCAAACAAGGGAACATATGAGACCAGCCCCTGCTGGCCTGACTGGAGGAGGAGGGGCACAGACTCTCACCATCAGGGACTGAGAGGGTGGGGCCAGGCCTAGCTCCTTCGGCATCCTCACCCCTGCCTCGCCCCCACCCCACACCCCACCACAGCAATTTGAGAACTGGCGCCCCAACCAGCCCGACAACTTCTTTGTCAGCGGAGAGGACTGCGTGGTGATGATCTGGCACGAGAAGGGAGAGTGGAATGACGTGCCTTGCAATTACTACCTGCCCTTCACGTGTAAAAAGGGCACAGGTGAGCAGCTGCCCCAGAGGGGCCCTGCCCTGATAGAGTCACAGAGTCAAGACGTTAGGCTCCTGCTGTGGGACCTGGGGCAGGTGTCCTGGCTGAGGAAGTACCCTTACCCACCCAGCAGGCAGGGCTCTGGTCTGGGGGGGGGGGCTCTCCCAGGGTCCCCTCGTCCCAGGGCCAATGGCAAAAGCCACGCCCACTCCTAGGGAGGGTGAAGGTCATAGGCTAGGGGACAGACAGGCCCCTACACACACAGTTCCTCTGGTGCCAGCACAGAAAGTCACCCACAGTGACTTTTCTGGGTGAGGAGCCCCCCTCTTTATGGGGTCCCCTAGAGTGTCAGTTGTCAGGTCCCGATCCTCAGCTTGGAGTCTGTGGACATGGAGGTGCTGGTAGAACAGGCCCCTCTTATTCCCTCTCCTGGCCTTGCACCCTGCCCAGGCCTCCTTCTGTCCCAATGTTTTCATAAAGTCACAGCCAATCTGCCTGGCTCTTGCCCCCTTTCCCACCTTTCACCCTTCCTGTTGTCTTTCCCTCATCCCCTCAAGACCCTCCTTTTATTCCCACCCTGCTGCTCTAAATCACGGAGGAACCCAGACATCAGAACCCGTGGTTTCCAGACTTTTAGTTCAGCATGAAAATGCCTCTTTGCCAGCAGCCAGGGCTCGTGGCCGGGTGTCCAGGTGCGGTGCCCCTTCCTTGGGCTCTGGGCTGTCTCATCACAGCCAAAGGAGGGCACACGGGCTCATCACTTGCCTGGGTCATCTCGGGGGACCCTCCCAGAGCCCTTTCTCAAGAGCTTGTGTCCCTCAGTGGCCTGCGGAGACCCCCCTGTGGTGGAACACGCCAGGACCTTCGGCCAGAAGAAGGACCGCTACGAGATCAACTCGTTGGTACGGTACCAGTGCACTGAGGGCTTCGTCCAGCGGCATGTGCCGACCATCCGGTGCCAGCCTAGCGGCCACTGGGAAAAACCTCGCATCACCTGCACAGACCGTGAGCACTGCCACCCCCACCCCCCACCCCTCGCTGGGCACAGCATTCCATCCCATGACCCTCTGGGAGGGAGGGGTCCTGAACACCTGCTGTCTGCACTACCCCTGGGCTCATCACACTCACTCCCTCGGCCCTCAGGGCAGGCTCACTTTCACTGAGGACAAGGAAAAAGCGGCTGGTCTGCTTTCCTTTTCAACACTCAAAGCCCCTTTTAGCCCAAACTGGTGCCAAGAAAAATCAAAACCAGGGATGTCCAGGTGGCTCAGTCGGTTGTGTCTGCTTCGGCTTGGGGCATGATCCCAGGGTCCTGAGATGGAGCCACCGCATCGGGTTCCCCGCTGAGCCTGCTTCTCCCTCTCCTGCTCCCCCTGCTTGTGCTCTGTCAAATAAATAAATAAAATCCTCTTTAAAAAAAAGAAAGAGGGATCCCTGGGTGGCGCAGCGGTTTGGCGCCTGCCTTTGGCCCAGGGCGCAATCCTGGAGACCCAGGATCGAATCCCACATCGGGCTCCCGGTGCATGGAGCCTGCTTCCCCCTCTGCCTGTGTCTCTGCCTCTCTCTCTCTGTGACTATCATAAATAAATAAAAAAATATATATTTAAAAAAAATAAAATAAAAAATAAAAAAAAGAAGGAAAAGAAAAATCAAAACCAGAAAGTGGGTAAAGCCTCAGGTTACTACTTGAACCCATGGTTTCTGCAGGGAGGGGAGCCAGCAGAGGAGGGGCAAGTGGGGAAAGGTTAGGCTGCTCTCCCCCACCACTGCCGTGCTTCCTTCCTTCCGAGCTTTCAAGTGTTTGAGATTTTGCGGTCTCCCTTCCCCCCCAGCCTCCACTTACAAGCGCAGACTACAGAAGCGGAGCTCACGGGCCCCACGGAGGAGCCGCCCCAGCACAGCCCACTGAGAGGAGCTTCCAGGACGCACCCAGGATGCTGAGCCCAGGAGCCCCGCCAGGCTGACATCCCACATGGATGGTGTCCTCTTCTTGCCGCTTTCTGTCATATAAGGAATTCCATTAAAGAAGGAAAAAAAAAACAAATCCCACATTGTGTATGCACCCACCTCTCCCCACCCCACCCCCAAATCGCCAAAACCGCATCTGATTTTTCCCTCCTCGATGCCAAAGCAAAGCAAACCTATTGTAAGCCATGGACTGAGTTTAGAGACATTTCTCCAATCTCTCGTTGTGCCTTTCCAGGGACCAGAGCAGGGACAGGGGGAGAAGGGGAGGGGTTAAGTTAAATAAAGAAGATTATTTTTTGTTTCCTGACTTTATCCAAGAGCAGTGCAATCGTTGGTTATTTCACTCCAGGAAGAGTTAGGGAGGAGGGAGGAAGGGGCGTGAGGAGCTGGAACCTGACCGCAGCTGAATGTATTGGATGAAGAGCCAGGAGGGCGGCACCATCTCAAGAAGAGGCCTGAGGGCGAGGGGGCAGCTTCCACTCAGAGTGAGGGGGCAGGAGAGAGCCATCGAGGGATCTTCCGTTGTGTGGGGGTCGGGTTCCCTCCCAGGATCCCTCTTCCAGTGTCCACTCACCCAGGTCTGCCACCCTGAGCAGGTGTCCATCTCCGGCAGGGCTGGGTTTGGGGGAGTGCCGCCCCGCCCCTTCCCCCTCCCCCACACCCCCGGGACCGTGCAGGCACCAGAGTTCCGTGCACCTATTTATATTTTTGAAAACTGAAGATTATGATAATTATAATAATAAAGACATTGGAAGAGATCTATTTCTTTTCTTTTCCCTTTTTTTAAAGAGAAGGCAAACAGGGTCTGAGGTCTACAGAAGGGGCTCTTAGGAATGGGGGAGTAGTTGGGACATGTTTCAACCCAATGACCCAAACTAGGTGAATCTTTTCTGTTCATGAAGCCTGGAACAGTCACACCAGTCACACCAGTACAAATATGTTGTACTTCATATTTTTGTGAAGGTACCTGTGCATTTGATGGAGTGTGTGTGTGTGCAACAGCCAGTGGGTTTTGTGTGTGATTTATGAGTTGGCACATTGTCAAAAGACAAATGAGACATCTGGTTACTTGGCATAGCTTGGTTCTTTGATAGCTCATGCTCATATAGGGAATGGTTGGTACAGTGAGTCAAGAGCAGAGGTAAGGGGCACCTGGGTGGCTCAGTGGTTGAGCATCTGCCTTTGGTTCACGTCGGGATCCTGGGGTCCTGGGATCAAGTCCCATGTCAGGCTCCCTGGAAGGAGCCTGCCTCTCATAAATAAATAAATAAATAAATAAATAAATAAATAAATATCTTAAAAAAAAAAAAGGAGAGGCAAAATCAGGATTTATAAGAGGGAACACAAAACAGTTGCAGACAGCCTAGGAACAGTGAATCTTGCTTATGCATATTTGTGGTTAGCTAGTTCACTGGCCACTAGCAAGAAGGTCTGGGCATCCTGCTCTCAAGAATGGTGAAGGCTATTGATGAAAACAATTCCAATTGTTCTCCAAGAGACCTTGAGAGGACCCAGAATGTGCATTGGCCGGGCATTGGCCCCGCACTAGCCTGCTCCTTAGGAGGCCAGGTAGGTGCCACCCTGCTCATCACTTGCTCAGTGAGCCCTGGTGACTGTGTTTGTGAAGGCGTCTGGGTGCCAGCTGGTGCATGCTGGTGTGAGTTTGCTGGTATCTTTTTGGGTGTGCTTATGTATGCTGAGGATTCACTGGTGACTAGATACATGTGTCCAGATTCCCTACGAGTCTGGAGGCAATGAGTGAACAAAAGTAGGAGGTCCAGTGATGATCACATAGAAGGGGCTCAATAATTAGGTAATGAATGGATTCACTGGTGAGTTGGGACTGCAACTATGTGGTGTTCAAACTTGAGTCTCCATCAGAATCCAGAGGATTTGTGATAACACAGTTTCTCACTGAGAGAACTGAAGTTTGGCAGGTCTGGGGTGGGGCCCAGAGATTTGCATTTCCAATAATTTCCCAGGATTGCTGCCTGGCCACATTCTGAGAAGCAGGGACCCCACGTGAAAAACTGACTCTGTAACAGTGTGAACAGCAGAGGAATGCCTGAGCAGAGGCAGGTCTGGTTTCCCAAAGCTGGGGTGGGGACAGGGCGCAGAGGGGGAGACAGAGAGAGGGCCTATCTCTGAGATCCCCTGGGGCTGGGGACAGTCATGGCCTCCTCTGTGTCCTCCAAGGCACCTCCTAGTGTTCTGGGCTGACACTGACACCAGCCTGGGAGGGGAGACAGCGGGAACACAGGCCGGATCCTCCCACTGCTAGGCCAGCCACCAGAGGCAGGTCTCGGCCATCAGGCAAGCCAGAACCACAGCAGCTTGCAGGTGCAGCCCATGGAGCTCCCCAAAACAGAACTCCCCACCACTCTCCCTGGGGAGGGAGCTGGGCCCCAGGACTGAATGAAGCAGAAGGCCAGACACAGGGATGGGGGTGGGTGGTCACAGCACCATTTATTGTTCAGAGAAAGTACAGACACCTGAGGGCCACTCCCTGAGCAGGGAAAGATGAGAGAGAAAAAAATACACTCTTCGGAGAGAGAAGGAAAAAATGGAGAAATTTCTCTGTTTCCTGGGACTTCACATAGAAGTCTAGGGACCCGCTTCCAACCCTAGCTCCACAGCTGTGCTGATCTGGGCCAGCTGCTTCGCAGAGGAGGACAGGAGGAGGAGGAGGTGGTGGTGGAGGAAGAAGAAGAGGAGGAGGAGGCAGCAGCAGAGGCAGCAGGAGACCATAATGTCCAGGGCCCAGCTCCAGGGCCCCCCTGGACACCCTCCCCTCCCCCAGCCTGAGAAGAAGGAGGCAGGAGACTATGATGCCCCGTGCCTAGTTCCAGGGGCTCCCTGGTTACCCTCTCCTCCCCCAGGTTGAGGGGGAGGGGGAGTTGCAGCCACCATGTGTCACTGTCCACTCTGGGCACCAGCCTCCCTGGAGCAGGGAGCAGGGCTACATTCAGTGATGGTAGAGAGCACTTGTGGGCCCATGAACCTCCAATGTCCTAGAGAGAGGCAAGAGGGATTCCTGGGAGAGCCTTGGGGTGTCCACCTGAGCAAAGGGAAGATTTGGAATGTTGGATTTACAAAAAAACAAGCAAAAAGCAGTAATTAAAAAAAATTAACTTGAGAATAAAAACAATACAAAAAACTTGCCCCAAGCTGCCAGGGAAAACGAACCACTCAATAAATAGAGCCCGAGAGGGGAAGGACCACAGGGCGGTGCAGAGCCGGCGTGGGGACTAGCTCAGGAGTAGCGTGGCCGGTAGCAGTAGACGCCATACTCCCGGCTCTGCGGGTCTGGGAAGCCAAAGCTTCGGACCCCAGGCTCCAGAGGCCCGCAGTTGGGACGCGGGTGAACAACAGGGTAGCGGGCGCTGCCATCTGCCAGCCAGCCAGCATCACAGCGGTCCAGGCCCCGGAACTTCCAGGCAGCAAAGAGTTGGCCCACCTTGGCGATCTGGGCACCGTCTTCCTGGCAGGCCTCCTTTGCCTCTGCCAGGGTCAGCTTCTCAGGGTGTTCTAGGTAGTACACCTGCCCTGTGGGAAGGTGGGGCATGAGGGTTAGGCACTGGGTGGGGGGGAGGCAGCCAGAGAGGACAGTGGGGCCTGCAGGGACGGCAGCCCATTAGACCTCACCAAACAACCCTGGCGATCAGGAGCCCAGGGAGACATCAGGCTGTGGGCATTTGCCATGGATGCTTCTGGGAGGTACCTTCCCCATTCTGACCCCCTCTCTGAGAGCTTCATCACCCCTGCTATGGGGCTGGGTCCTTCCTGTCATGTCTGTACTCTACCTCACTCACCCTGGGTGGGCACCCCACCTAGCCTGGACCAATCAGGGTCTCTCACCCACTCAATCATTTACTGAGTACTGGGGCACTCGGTTGGCTCAGCTGGTGGAGCGTGTGACTTTTGATCTTAGGGTTGTGAGTTTGAGCCCCATGCTGGGTGCAGAGATGACTTAAAAATAAAAGTTTAAAAAAATCATTTACAGAGTACCTACTATGTGCCAGGACACTTTTCTGAATGCTTGTGATGTGACAATGAACCAATTTCTGTTTTTATTTATCTTCCCCCAAAATGATCCTCTTCACAAGGACGGGCTGTGCTTTATTTGTCTATGATGCCCAGCACCTAGTCTTGGCCCCAGCACGAGTAGGCTCTCAAAAAATATCTGATGAACAAGTAAACCAGTGATTGGTGTGAAGCAGCAGCAGAGCACTCAAAACTCTGCCAGGCGTGGCTCCAATGCCTTCAATGCCTACTCCAAGCCTCCAAGAGAAGATGCCAGCAGGGTAGACAGAGACCTCTCTGGATCCTAACACTTTCCAGATGCCACCTTCGGACCCCCAGGCCTGTGCTTGGCCAGTGCACTCACCCCTGAGGGCAGGAGCAAAGCAGAATACATCATAGCGGTGCAGGCGGTGGTGACGTGGGCCGTAGCTGCGCACACCAGGTGCCAGGCCCAGGCCACCGCAGGGCTGCCGGGCCAGCGTGATGGGGTACTGCACCGAGGCGTCCTGCAGCCAGCCTGCATTACACCAGTCCAGGCCCTCCTCCCAGGCCCGGAACAACTGCTCGAAGGATGCCACCACCGCATCCTGCTCCTCACACGCCCGCTGGGCCTCATGGAAGTTGAGCTGATAGCGCCCCTGAGGGTGCTGGTAGGGAAAGACCACACCTGGGGAGGGAGGAGAAAGAGGGGCTTGAAGGGGGTGGGCAGGGAAGGATGCCCACTGGGAAGGAGGCTCCCCTAAGCACACAGAGAAGCAAACCTGTCATCTCCTGTCCATTCTCCAGGTCCAAAGCAGAGTCTATGTCTGCCTTACAGCTCCCTCCTAGAACCAGGCTGGCACACAGCAGTACTCAGAAAACATTGATTAGCTTGTTAAGGTCATGAATGAATCAGCCAATTAACGTCCCCAACTCTAGAATGGGAATGCCACCTAATTCACAGGGCTGTTGCAAGAACCCCAGTGCTAGGGTCTCAATGTGTCCCCCTAGCTCATGTGCTGAAATCCCAAGGCCTAAGGTGATGGTATGAGGAGGTGGGGCCTTCAGGAGGCACTTAGGTCATGAATGAGATTAGTGTCCCTCCATAAGAGATCCCACACAGAGATCTCTCCCTGCTTCCACCATGTGAGGACACAGAAAGCAGTCTGTGACCTGGCAGAGGGCTCTCACCTGACCATGCTAGCTAGCACCCTTCCGCCCCAATCATATCCAGCCAGCATCAGGGATGAGGAACGGGGCCCCTCTGGTCACCATCTGGACTAGATAGGTGGATGCTGATGGTAAAAGTAAGTCCCTGACTTGCACTTTATCCTCATCTCCTCACAAGCAGGTAAAGGAGGCACTCATTTCATACTGTAGGGGATGGGGTATCTACCCACCCCACCCACAGCTAGGGCAGGGTGGGCCTGGAGCCAGAACACCATTCTCTATCCATCTCACCTCCTCCCTAACAGGTAGGAGAGGTATGAGGACACATAGCCCCATCCTAGAGAGAGAGAAGGTCAAAGTCACTAGAGATCACCCACAGGAGCCCACATACAAGGTCTGGCTAGTTTGGAGACCATTGAGCTGTGATTGTTTTTTCATGAGAAGATTTTTACATAAAAATCCAGAGATTAAAAAAGAAATCCAGAGATTTTGGGGTGCCTGGGTGGCTCAGTGGTTGAGTATCTGCCTTCAGCTCAGGGTGTGATCCTGGGGTCCTGGGATCAAGTTCTGCATCAGATTCCCCCACTCTGTGTCTCTGCCTCTCTCTGTGTATCTCTCATGAATAAATAAAATCTTTAAAAAGAGAAATCCAGAGATTTCAGAGAAAAATATATGCTTCTCTTATCAAATCAGAAAACCTGGCTGTGTGAGTCTGCTCCTGGCCCCAAGTAAGGCACTCCTCTGGGACATGATGAGGGCTCAGCCGTGTGTCCAGGTGCCCACCACTCCTGCCACCCACACTGGGCGGCCCCCTTGGTTTGTGCTGCCTGCAACCCTGCTGGAGTCTCAGCAGGGTTGCAGTCCTCCTGTTTTCCTCTATCTAAATAAAGTGTGAGCCAGAGGGAATATTGTGTTCTAGAGACCGACTGCCTGAGGTCAAACTCCTACTCTGCAATTTATGGGCAGTATGGCCTTAGGGAAGTTCGTTGACCTCCCTGTGCCTATTTCCTCATCTGTAAACCGGGGGTGATGGGATGCCTGGGTGGCTCAGTGGTTGAGCATCTGCCTTCAGCTCAGGGTGTGATCCTGGGGTCCTGGGATCGAGTCCCACATCGGGCTCCCCACAGGGAGCCTGCTTCTCCCTCTGCCTGTGTCTCTGCCTCTCTGTGTCTCATGAATAAATAAAACCTGTAAAAATATACATATTAAAGAAATAAGTAATTAAATGGGGGTGACGATAGCAGTAGCGTCACCATGGGGTTGTTTCAAGGACCACGTGCTGGTCTGAAGCACAGAGCTCTAGACGGTTTCTCGGGGCCCTCTCTCTCCATAGCCCAGGCCCCCCATATCCCCCTGCGCGTGGGGCCTCACCCCGTAGCTCCAGCTCCACCAGGCCACTCTGGTCCTCCAGCCCATCAATGACCTCACAGCGGTAACGCCCAGAGTCCTCCAGCCGCAAGTCCCTGATCTGCAGCGACACTTCGCGCTCCCCGTTCTGCCACAGACGCGCCCGGCCTCGGTAGTCTCCGAAGGAGCGGTGCCTCTGCCCGATGGCCACCAGCACATCCTGCTCTGGGGCCCCATTCTCTGACAGCTTCCACCACTTGATGCGTACAGTCCTCGGGGCCAGCAGGGTGGGCTCGTAGTGGTAGCGGCAGGGCAGGGTCACTTGGGCCCCCTGGTGGGAGAACAGGGTCTCCTCGGGTGTCTCTACCAACAGCTTCACCCCGTTGAAGACGCCTGCGAGAGAGGAGGTGCCAATGGGGATCTGCAGCAGCACACCCGTACCCCTGCAAGGGCCACCCTGAGCCTCATCCCCGGCTTCTGCCAGGCTCAGCAGTTGCCCATTGCAAGAATGGCCGTAATGCTGCACCCACATGCTCTGCATTGTGACTTTGTGGCCCCTATCAAGAGGGGACTCTATTTCCCCTCCCCCTTGGCTGGCCTTGCCACTTGCTTTGACCAAATGAATGTGACTATTCCACTGTGCCTGCTCTGAGTCTGGGTTCCATGAGGCTCTGCTGCTTTCACTCCACGACAACAAGCCTGGGCTCACCTGCTGGAAAAGGAGAGCCCACGTGGAGCAGAGACAAGCCCTCACTGACCTGTCCTACTGACTGCAGGCACAATTAAGTCAGTGAGCACAGCTGGGACCATGGACATAGAAGCCAATCCAAAATGCTGACCCATGAAATCACAAGCCAACCCCCCCCCCAAAAAAAAAAACAGCTGTTGTCTTAAGCCATTAAGTGTGTTGTGTGTAAGCAGCTAATTGACATAGCAGGCAATTTGAGCATCCCCGTATCAGGCAGCTGGCTAGGACTCAGATCTCCCTGGGGTCCTTCCCTGCCATGCTGACCACAGGAGAGCACAGCTTGCCCTTCACTTTTTGTCTCACCATTCTGATGTTCCCGAGATACCTAGAAACACAGGTGAGATGCGGCAGGACTTCTATAGGAGACCATACAGTAACACCGTACAAATAAACCCAGAGCCTACCATGGCGGCACAAGCACCAGGTTTATGGCTGAAGCTGGCTCATCTTTAACTTGAGACCCCATATAGCGGTCTCACTATCTCATGCTCGTGGGCCTGGACTTAGACCCCTGGAGGTACAGGGTGGGGGAGGGGTGTAGTCTCCAGGGTAAGGAGCTAGGAGGCTCCCTGCAGAGGCTTTCATGCCGAAAAGGCCAGGAGCTCTGGTGCAGTGGTTGTCAAAGTGGGGTCCCCAAGGCAGCAGCAGCAGCAGCATCACTGGGAACTTGCTAGAAATGCAAACTCCCAGACCCCACCCCAGACCTCCTGAATCAAAACCTCTGGGGGTAAGGCCCAGTGATCAGTGTTCTAACAGCTCTACAGGTGGGTGATTTTGCCAGTCACTCAAGTTGGAGAAGCCTGCTCTGGACAGGCTGTAAACACAGAGGCTTGGGGACCACAGGCCTGGAGTCAGAGAAGCCCGGTTTGAATCTTGGCTCCAACTCTCCACAAGCTAGTCTAGTCTAGAGAAATCAGCTGATTCTACAAACCACTCTCCTTATTTGTAGCATGGGGTAACATCAGTACCTATAGCTGGCTGTGGTGAGTCTCAACACAGATAAGTGTGACACCTGGCACATGGGAAAAGCTCAACGGACATGAGCCAGGACTATCATGTAGTGGCTTTGTCCTTTGTTTTCACCTAGTACACTTTATGGTTTTGATTTATTTGAGAGAGAGAAAGCACACAGAGCAAGAGAGAGAGCATGAACAGGGGTGGAGGGGCAGAGAGAGAGGGAGAAGCAAGCTCCCAATGGAGCCGGGAGCCCTACGTGGGACTTGATCCCAGGACCCCGGGATCATGACCTGAGCCGAAGGCAGACGCTCAACCACTGAGCCACCCAGGTGCCCCTCCTTCATGCTCTTTAGTAAAGCTGTGTTTGAAGCTTTAACCCGAAGAAGATGAGAATGTTTAGTTAAATCATAATGTCTCTGTATGACAAAACACTATACAGCCAGGTAAGATAACCTGGCAGCTGGATATCCACTCATCGGCCTTGGGAGAAAAATTGTATTCTATGAAGTGACACGGAGATTCCCAAACCACATGTAGAGCAAGAGGTTAAAGACAATTTTCTCAATCCTATATCAAAGGCTGGAGGGAAATGTTAGTAAGGTTTCCCCCAGGTAGGGGGGATTATTTGTGATTTTACACATATTCATGGATAGAAGTGGTAAAATTATGGGTAGAAAGTTTAAGTTTTTAAGTTTTCTTGAATCTCATTAAAGTCGGATTATTGGGACACCTGGGTGGCTTAGTGGTTGAGTGTCAGCCTCTGGTTCAGGGTGTGACCCCAGGATCCTAGGATAGAGCCCTGCATTGGGCTCCCCGCAGAGAGCCTATTCTCCCTCTGCCTGTGTCTCTGCCTCTCTCAGTGTCTCTCATGAACAAATAAATAAAATATTTTTTAAAAATAGAATAAAATTGTGATTATCTAACAAAATAAATTCGGTGGGGGGGGGGGAAGGTTGGAAGCCAAATAATGATGCCCCGAGATACCTAGGTCCTAATTCCTGGAACCTGTGAGAGTTACCTTCTATGGCAAAGAGACTAAATTAAGGATTGCAGTCACAAGTATCTTCTTAGAAGGGGGCCAAGCGAGATGTGACCCCGGGGTCAGAGACTGCAGTGACACAGCCACAGGCCCAGGCCCATCAGCAGCCAAAGGACACCGGGAGAGGTAAGGAACACATTCCCCCCACCCCTACCCCCAAGAGCCTGAGGGAGGCCGGGTCGTGTTCATCAAAGCAACCCTTCCACAAGCAGATCTCAGCACGGGTTCTGCAGATCTGTGTGCCCCGGGAGGCTGGCTCAAGTCTGTGAGCTTCGCTGTCCTCATCTATGAAATGAAATAATCCACGTTATGTGCTTTCGGGGCTGCAAGGACAGCCAGCACTAGCTTGGCCTGGTGGAGTCCTCACCGTGCTGGCTGTTAACCTTGCCCATATATCAGGCTTTTTGTGAGGATTGTCTGAAGCAATGCTGGGAAGGCAGCTAGAAGTGTGCCTGACACAAAGTAGGTGCACAACTGCTAACTAAAAAGTCACCTGCCCAAAGGCGCTGAGGTGGCTCAGCCAGTTAAGTATCTGACTCTTGATTTCAGGTCATGATCTCAGGGTTATGGAATCGAGCCCCATGCCCTGCACGGAGCCTGCTTGGGATTCTCTCTCTCTTTTCCTCTCCCTCTGCCCCTCTTCCCCAAAAAAGTCACCTGCCCAAAGCCATGTAGTTACTAAGTGGCAAAATTAAGATTCAAACTCACATCTGTCTAACCTCAAACATCCTTTCCACTTGGGACACCAGGCAGGGGCAATCACATGTAAGTTGGGTCTTGGAAAATGGGCAGGAGCGTCCCATTTTGGGAGCGTCCTTAAGTACAGAAGTGATTGTCTTTAAGCACATTTGGCTCCGATGCACTCCAAGCCCAAGGGAGTAGCAAACACAGAGTAACTGAACCATCCCTTGCACTCGTCTTAGAAAGGAGCCTGGCCTGCTACAAGGGCCCAGACAGGGAAGGGGCTACTGGCTCCACGCCCCATCCCCTGTCCCGGCCTGGAACCTGCATATCACAGCAGGATCCAGGAGAGGTCTCGGTCATCCCAGTGGAACATGGAGCCAGAGCCAGCCAGGAGCTGCCCACCTTCGTTGTGGCCATTGCCCAGGTTCCAGCCATTGGGACTGTTGGAGTAGTAGAAGCCATTGTAGAAGGGCAGCCCGGAGATGCAGGGCAGCAGGAACAGCAGGACCAGGAGCAGCAGGCCCATGACGCCAGGCACGGCCACAGGGCCAGGGTGTCTGGGGCAAGGCTGGAGTCTGGGGCAGGCTGGAAAGAGGAGAAAATAAGCCAATTAGAGAAGCCTGCTGCAGGGGGCCCGGGGACCCCTGGGTTCCAGCACTTGTTCACTAGCTCAGTGGGTGATTACGGAGCATCTTCTGTCTGGCAGGCCCAGGGGACTGCAGGCCACAGGCAAGACGGGCAGTAAGCAAGCCAACAAAGCCGAGGGAGGGGTTAGGAGGAGGCACCTAGTCCGCAGAGAAAATTATATAGGGCAATAGGACAGGATCAACAGTTTCAGATGGCATGTTTGAATTTGCAAGGTTGTGAGCAGGATTTTTTTTTTTTAATTTATGATAGTCACACACACAGAGAGACAGAGAGAGAGAGAGAGAGAGAGAGAGGCAGAGACATAGGCAGAGGGAGAAGCAGGCTCCATGCACCAGGAGCCCGACGTGGGATTCGATCCTGGGTCTCCAGGATCGCGCCCTGGGCCAAAGGCAGGCGCCAAACTGCTGCACCACCCAGGGATCCCATGAGCAGCATTTTTTAATGACATGGAGAAAACCAGACGACACAATCTCAGGATGTATTTGTTTAGCAAGAGGAGTTCTGCATTGTCAAGCTTCTGTTTCCATCCAGAGAGATCTGCAGGGGTGACGGGGAAGTCACAATGCAAAATTTGTTTCTTACCCTGAGTCAAGGTCAAAAAAAATTTTAAGCACCATGCTTAGGGTACTTCTAGGGGCCATTCCGGTTTCAGAGGACATGCAAATAAAACAGGCAGCTAGCCCTGTTTTATAGCCCATGGGCTATAGTTAGTTTATTTGGTTTTTAAAAAATATATTGCATTTCAATATTATATGGCGATTACCAAGTTTTCTTGGTGCGCACACCCTCTCCTCCCTTGCTGTGTTTTGCAGCCAAGGCTAATGCCTCAATCACCTCCTCCTCACCTCCCCCCCACCCCCTCATTGCCATTTGTTGAGTGTTTAATGATTAAAAGACCAGCAGACTTGGAGGGACTCTAGTGCAGAAAAGGGACAGAGTCCTGGGCAGGGAGTCACGAGCTATATGGGAAGTGCAGACATGGGGTACAGAAAAGACACAAAGGCCCAGAGACCAAAGAGAACATGTGGTGGGGCGGGCGGCGGTGGGGGGAAGGGGGGGTCCTGGGAATGTGCTGGAAGTACTTCCTTTGTGTGTTTCTCTGCCCTGATCCTGGGATGGCTTCTCCCAGCACCCTGGCCTCCGGCTTTCAGTGGGATTCAGCCCCGGGGGTTTGGGGGAAGCACCCACAAGAGATGGGCAGGAGGGAGAAGCTTCATCTCTGGAATACTGTGTCTCCTTGTGACCACAATCCTGTTGGCATCTCCTCATCCTCACCCCAGCACCTGCTCTTGTGAGGTGTGTAACATTGTTCCCTCCCCTTATCCCTCTGCACCCCCAGGCTTCGAAGGGTGACTGCCATTGCTCATGTCTATGTCTTCCACCCCCTCGTTCGATGCCCCCATCCCTGAACTCTAGAAGCCAACCATTCCTTCCTTATTAGAGTCTCTTTATTGGAACCACCCAGGGTGAATTCTGCTTCCTGCCAAAACCCTGGCTGATAAAGGGGAGAGGTGGTGAGAGGGGTCAGCAGGCCGAGGTGAGCAGCTAGATGCCCTTGGGTATCTGGCCCAGGCTTTTCCCTCTCTCCTTGGTCCCAAAGGCCCCGGGGTGCCAGTGGTGGCCGTAAGCAGAAGAGCCACAGGATCAGAAGAACATCTCAGAAACACGCCTCCAGGGGCGGTGTTGACGGTGAACCTGGTGGGGCAGGAAGGCCAGGGTGGCAGCGGGCATCTGGAAGTACAGCTATGATTACCATGTAGCAATGTGGAAAAATGCTTAGGGTATAATTTAAGATGGACAAAGCAGAACACCAGAATTGCCCCTCTGCTATGATTGCAAGCCTGTGGCCCCATGAATGCCTGTTGTATGAAAACCAGAATGGAGGGAAGAGCAAAGAGACAAGGGAAGGAGGAGGGTGGGAAGGGAAAAGAAAAAAAGAAAAGAAATGAGGCGCCTGGATGGCTCAGTTGGTTAAGTGTCTGACTTTGGCTCAGGTTGCAATCTTGGGGTCCTAGAGTTGAGCCTCACATCAGGCTCAGGGTAGGCAGGGAGTCTGCTTGCCCCTCTCCTCTCCCACCTGAACCTGGCTCGTGCTCTCCCTGTCTCTCTCGATAGATCTTTTAAACAAAAAAGAAAGGTGAGAAAAGCATGGAATCTGTAAGGAAAGGTGGTGAGATTCGAGCAGAGAACCTTCTTGTTTCGGAAACAGTTAGGAGCCCTTGCTGGAAAGGAAGGAGCAGATGTAGAATAAGCTGACAGGTAGAACCCATTGCTCCCTTAGGCCCCTTGTGGAGATCCTGAGGCCCAGACCCACCCTCTGTGCCGTGTACTACAGTAGGACACTGTCGGCCTGAGGTCTCACTTCTCATCCAAGAGGAGTCCTCAGGCGACACCCATAATGCCTCACGGGGACTTGGATCTGGGCAGCCCAATCAGACAACCTAATAAAGAAGTTCGGAGGTAGGAAGATCTGGGTTCAAATCCCATCTCCACTACTTACAAGCCTTGTGATTCTAGGCAGGTTTCCTCATTTGCGAAATGAAGTTCATAAAACTCACCACCACATATTTTTCACCCATACGTCTACTTCTTTCCTATGGTAGCCTGGTTCTAGATCGCGCACGATCAGTCAGCTGAAAGCTGTATTTGCAGTCTCCCTCTACAGCGAGGAGAGGCCGTGGGACTTGTGCTGGACCATGGCAGGGAGCAGAAATAACACGTGCCTCCTGCAGGTCTTGTGTTAAAATAGGGATAGCTCTTCCTGGTATTCTCCTCCTCCACCTGCTGGCCACCAGAGTAGCCACCTTAGTCTCAGAAATGTAAACCATGGGTTGAATGGCAGAGCTGCCCCATCAGCCCTGGAACTCCCCCATCTGCACTGTGTCATGAGAGAAACAAAGTCTTATCGTATTTAAGTCACCACGTTTGGAGTCTCTTTGTGAACACAGCTTAGCCACACTTGGACTGCGATCATGGGCATAAAAATAGTAACAGCTGAGTTTAATGAGCACGTACTACCTCATTTACTCCTTATCACAATGCCTGGAGGTGGAACCTCTTAGTATCCTCATTTCACAGCTGGGAAAACCAAGGCACAGACATATTAAGTCATCTGGCCAAGGTCATACAGCAAGGACATGGTGGAGTTGGGATCTGAACCCACTCCAGCTCCAGAGCCTGGAATGACCATGTCAAATTCAGGGAGGTGACATGTGCAGAACACACACCTCAGAGCCTGGTACACAGCAGGACCTCATTGGAGATCATTTCTTTTCTCTTCCTGAGGTCTCTCATCTGGAACCAGGAAGGAGAATGAGGACCAAGAGGCTGTTGATACTGAGCTGGATGTCACAAGGCCCACCTTGTCCCTGGCTACCCGCAGCCTCCTCACAGCAGTTCATCAGGCCCAGATGCCCTCCTATGAGAAAGGGCTTCCCTGGGATGAGCAAATGGAGGTGTTTCTGCCACTTATGTGCCTGAAACAAAATGCATATTTTTGCATTAAATGCATTAAAAAATAAGGTGAAGGGAAGAATAAGGTTGGGGCCAATCATTCAAAACCTATGTGAGGCACCTGCATGGCTCAATGGCTTTGCATTCGCCTTTGGCTCAGGGTGCGATCCCAGAGTCCTGGGATCGATCAAGTCCCGCATTGGGCTCCCCACAGGGAACCTGCTTCTCCCTCTGCCTATGTCTCTGTCTCTCTGTGTGTCTCTCATGAATAAATAAATAAAATCTTAAAAAAAAACATGCAGCTTTGTAACCAGAGTGTTAATAAAACCAGGAACAGTCCTAATAAACACCACCAGTACTGTTCACTCTCCACTGACCTTGGCACCCAATGCCCTTTGCAGCCCTCAGCACAGGGACAAATGGTTCCTCCTTTGAGATGTAGGTTTCTGGGGGCATTGGATTCCAAGAGAAACCAGAATTAAGAATTAAGACTCTGATCCATCCAAGGTGGAGCCATCTTCTTCAATCATTTTTGTTTTTTAACTCAAGGGAAATGTCTTTGCAACTTCATCATGCGATTTCTACATTTATCAGAAAACTTTGTGAGAAGCTGCCAAACAGGCACCTCTCTCTCCCCAAACCTATTGCATCCTTGAGTTGAGATGGTGCAAGTTTGGATCTTGAGAGCTGGGACAATTTGGTAAGAAGGGATGCTGCATTATCCAAATCTATTTGGTTCCTGAGTTTTCAACACTGAACAGCAAGAGCCTGGATAGGGAGAGACATTTGTATGTGTACTTTCTGCAGGGACTGTCAGCACTTATCTTAAGGAATCCAGCACTTGCAAAAAGCTTCCTCTTTGATTGTGAGAAAGCCTGTTATGGCCACTCCAATACGTCAGCATGTTGAGAAAAATCACTGCCGGACCAATGCGGTGTTATGCTGACATCAGTCCCCCATTGTGTTTATCAATCGTGATGAAGTCATTCATTCAGAAACGTGCACTGAGGCAGGAAAAACCGTGGCATCTTCTGTGTCTTCCAGCGAGCTCCTAGGTACCCCTTCCCAGCCTCAGAGACCCCACCCAGCACATGCTCCCAACCTTGAGCCTGGGCATCACTCACTCCCTCGGTTTTAAAGGGCTTCCATGTCCAACAGCTCCCTTGACCCTTCTAAGAAACCCTCCTCCCCTCAACTGCCAGTCAGCAAGAATTTTATTCTCCCCAATTAATCCACAGGTAAACAGAGGCACCAAGACGTGAATTGTCCAAAGGTCACATGGCCGAGAGGGTAGAGGCAGGGCCCTGTTGTAAACTCTTCAGCCAGCCCCCTTGAGGATCTGTCCTATATAAGGACTGCCTTCCATGTGACAATGCATTTGCATGGATGATGTCACTGTCTATCAGTTTCACAATGTCAAAATTTTTATCTCCATTGTACAGAGAAGGAAACTGAGGTTCAGAAATGCTAAGATGCAGGGTGCC